GCAAATCAACCTGTGTTGATTATATGCAGCATTCTGAAAACAAGGCAATGTCACATTGCGGATTATTGCTTGCTTCAAACAATTATCTTCCCCAAGAACTACCCTCGGTTGTGGGAGACACGGCGGCGGCCATTCCACCCACCGGGGTCAAGACATCAGAGGATCTCAGAGTAGCCGGTACCTCTGATACACTTTTGGCATAAATTTTGCCTCTTGGTATGACCGTATGATACCATTTACACTTACCAAACAATATAAGTTTGCTGATTTAAGTTCGTTTTATTATTGTTCGTACCAGTTTTGGCTGCGGCTATCCGAGTCCGAATAAGTGGGAGCCTTTAGCAAGAATATAAGGGCTCGCTCGCTTCCGCTTGACAATCATCGGGGTCAAATGTTTCTAGGATTACAGTTTTGAAAAAATCGTTGCACTGAAACTGTTATCGCCGGCCAATTGAATATTCGGTGCCACTTGCGTTAAACTTTATTTGTTTTTGTTTTGTGGGGTCCTGGTGTTAATGTTGCTTGCCTTGTTTATATGACGAGCATTGACCTGGGGATTTTTATGAACTAGAAGTTAAAGAAAGAGGTTTCGCTATTTCTCAAGGTTGCAATCCAACTTTTGATATATGAAGCATTCTGAAATCAAGTCCACATGTCACATTGCGTTATTTGCTTGTTCAAAAATTATTCTTCCCCCAGAACTACACCTCGGTTGTGGAGACACGCGCGCGGGCCTTCACCCCCGGGTCAGACATAAGGATTTTCAGAGTAGCGCGGACCTTCTACACTTTTGCATAAATTTGCCTCTTGTATGACCGATTATACCTTTAAAATCATACAAAATATAAGTTTAGCTGTTTAAGTTCGTTTATTTTGTTCGTACCAAGTTTTGGTGCGGCTATCGAGCCGAGTAACGTGGGAGCCTTTAGCAAGAATATGGGCTCGCTCGTTCAGCTGACAACTACGGGGGTCAAATTGTTTCTAGGATACAGTTTTGAAAAATCTTGACTGAAACTGTTTCGCCGGCAATTGAAATCTGGTGCACTTGCGTTTTAAATTTTATTTGTTTTATTGTTTTGGGTTCCTGGTGTTTAATGTTGCTTGCCTCTGTTATATGACGAGCATTGGACTGGGATTTTTATGAACTAGAAGTTAGAAGAAAGAGGTTTCGCTATTTCTCAAGGTTGCAAATCAACCTTTTGATTATATGCAGCATTCTGAAATCAAATCCACATGTCACATTGCGTTATTTGCTTGTTCAAAAATTATTCTTCCCAAGAACTACACCTCGGTTGTGGGGAGGAAGCTTCACCCCCGGTGTCAGACATAGAGATTCTTTCAGAGTAGCGCGACCTCTGTACACTTTTGCATAAATTTGCCTCTTGTATGACCGATTATACCTTTAAACTCATACAAAATATAAGTTTAGCTGTTTAGTTTCGTTTATTTTGTTCTACCAAGTTTGGTGCCACTATCGAGCCGAGTAACGTGGGAGCCTTTAGCAAGAATATAGGGCTCGCTCGTTCAGCTGACAACTACGGGGGTCAAATTGTTTCTAGATACAGTTTTGAAAAAAATCTTGACTGAAACTGTTTCCGCCGGCCAATTGAAATCGGTCACTTAGCGTTTAAACTTTTATTTGTTTATGTGTTTGTGGGGTTCCGGTGTTTAATGTTGCTTGCCTTGTTCTATATGACGAGCATTGACTGGGGATTTTTATGAACTAGAAGTTAGAAGAAAGAGGGTTTCGCTATGTTCTCAAGGTTGCAATCAACCTTTGATTATATGCAGCATTCTGAAAATCAAGTCCACATGTCACATTGCGTTATTTGCTTGTTTCAAAATTATCTTCCCCAAAGAACTACACCTCGGTTGTGGAGACACGCGCAGGGCCTTCACCCCGGCGTCAGACATAGAGAATTCTCAGGTAGCGCGGACCTCTGTACATTTTGCATTAATTTTGCTCTTTGTATGACCGATTTATACCTTAAAACTCATACACAAATATAAGTTTAGCTGTTTAAAGTTCGTTTTATTTGTTCTGTACCAAGTTTTGGTGCGCTATCGAGCCGAGGTAACGTGGAGCCTTTTAGCAAGAATATAGGCTCGCTCGTTCAGCTGACAACTACGGGGGTCAAATTGTTTCTAGAGTACAGTGTTGAAAAAATCTTGACTGAAACTGTTTACTGGCCGCAATTGAAATCGGTTGCACTTGCGTTTAAATTTTATTTGTTTTATTGTTTTGTGGGGTTCCTGGTGTTTAATGTTGCTTGCCTTGTTTATATGACGAGCATTGACTGGGGATTTTTATGAACTAGAAGTTAGAAGAAAGAGGGTTTCGCTATGTTCTCAAGGTTGCAAATCAACCTTTTGATTATATGCAGCATTCTGAAAATCAAGTCCACATGTCACATTGCGTTATTTGCTTGTTCAAAAATTATCTTCCCCAAGAACTACACCTCGGTTGTGGGAGACACGCGCGGGGCCTTCACCCCCGGGTCAGACATAGAGGATTCTCAGAGTAGCGCGGACCTCTGTACACTTTTGCATAAATTTTGCCTCTTGTATGACCGATTATACCTTTAAAACTCATACAAAATATAAGTTTAGCTGTTTAAGTTTCGTTTTATTTTGTTCGTACCAAGTTTTGGTGCGGCTATCGAGCCGAGTAACGTGGGAGCCTTTAGCAAGAATATAGGGCTCGCTCGTTCAGCTGACAACTACGGGGGTCAAATTGTTTCTAGGATACAGTTTTGAAAAAATCTTGACTGAAACTGTTTCGCCGGCCAATTGAAATCGGTGCACTTGCGTTTAAATTTTATTTGTTTTATTGTTTTGTGGGGTTCCTGGTGTTTAATGTTGCTTGCCTTGTTTATATGACGAGCATTGACTGGGGATTTTTATGAACTAGAAGTTAGAAGAAAGAGGGTTTCGCTATGTTCTCAAGGTTGCAAATCAACCTTTTGATTATATGCAGCATTCTGAAAATCAAATCCACATGTCACATTGCGTTATTTGCTTGTTCAAAAATTATCTTCCCCAAGAACTACACCTCGGTTGTGGGAGAACTTCACCCCCGGGTCAGACATAGAAGATTCTCAGAGTAGCGCGGACCTCTGTACACTTTTGCATAAATTTTGCCTCTTGTATGACCGATTATACCTTTAAAACTCATACAAAATATAAGTTTAGCTGTTTAAGTTTCGTTTTATTTTGTTCGTACCAAGTTTTGGTGCGGCTATCGAGCCGAGTAACGTGGGAGCCTTTAGCAAGAATATAGGGCTCGCTCGTTCAGCTGACAACTACGGGGGTCAAATTGTTTCTAAGATACAGTTTTGAAGAAAGAGGGTTTCGCTATGTTCTCAAGGTTGCAAATCAACCTATATATTGTTTGTTTCATTATTTAGTACTGGCCAATAATTTATCAGCCATTCTATGTCCAAATTTTGCAAAAAAGGCAGTGAGAGGTTATAGAGGCCCGTTAGGTAAAAAGGGAAAATGCAGATGACAAAATTTGGCAATTACCCCCCTTTAGATTAGCTTAAAATTCCCTTTTAGTACCATTTCTTGGAGTAATTTCGACACGTTGAGCGGTTGACAATTATCCGACGAAAGACCGAATTTTCCGGAGCCCCCCCAAAAGCCCCACAATTTCCGCCACTGGTGTAAGTTCTCTTCAAGATAACAGAAAACAATTCAAATCTTTTTTGATGTGTTGCTTCATCATAAACTTAAAACAGAACAGAATAGAAAAATTAATTACTCAATTACGCTTTAGAGATAATTACTCACAGATCGACAATATTTTGACATTTTTCTTAAATTTAAACGATGTCACAATAAAAAACAACTTTTGGCTTTATTGAAGTTACAATATACAAGTTTCGAAATGTATTCTAATAACATTTTAGGAGGCAAGACTACTTTATGCTACCAAAATTTGCTAATCGTGCATTCTTGGAAGTACAATCGTTGTAGAAAAGTTATATACATACGCTGGCCCGTTTAGCGTTGAGCTGTAAGTGGGTACCTGTATGCCTTGGAAAGGACAAGTAAAAATCGGTATTTTTGTTGACTGCTGTACCCTTCCTACAATGGGCCTGATTTATATACATAGATACTTATACTGAAGAGCGAGTTATTCACGAAACATATAAATAAATAGATATGTATGTATATTATTCTACGTACGTTGGTATTTACACAGTTAATATATTAGTAACAATGCTCTTATTTATGGAAATGCATGACCTTCTTCTCGCAAGAAGTCCTTTAAAATCTTGGCTGTTACAATTATCAACATATCGCAGTCGGATTTATTTATTTTCAACTCTTTACCGTAGTTCTGATTAAGGAACAGGGAAATCATTTCGGCAGCCTCTTCGTAGCCTTCCCCGTGCGATGCTAAAATTTCGATTAGAGTAATATCCTCTTTCAATACTAAATTCATATTTTCTGCATAAACGGACGGTAATTTTGTATTTCTAAACATTGCTAGCTTTTCTGCAATTGACCCATTTTTTAGTGAAGCTAGTAAGAATTTATTCAAACTTTTCAAATTAACGTCTACTGCAACTTTCTTTTCGCATGGGCTCTCAACTGGTTTCAAACAAATGGGTTTTCTTTTCCCTTTTTTCCTTTTAGAACCCTTACTCATAGCCATTTCCTTCCTCTTTTTATTCAGCGGGGCATGTTGTGATTCTGTTTCGCTTCCAACTGCAGTGCAATTTTCGCAAAACCACTTGTTCTGCCTTTTTATTACTGCTTGGACACATTCTACGTGAAACCATTCATTACAACTATCACAAGCAATCATTGGGGAACCGTTATCAGGCATTTTACAGTTACAGAACAAGGGAACTTCGATTGTGTAGAGTGGCCCACGGTGTGACTTCGGTGTTCCGTCAAGACAAATCGTGAAGGTATCAAAACTAGAATTTTCAAGTGCCACAACAAGCTGCTTTCTTAGAACTTTATAATTAAAATTGATTTTTTGGGGGTCAGCACCCTTAACAAGGGCGAATGCGTAGCAAATAGCTGCCACTCCACTGTCAGCATTTTTGCCTACAGTTTTAGTATCAGCTACATCAATAACAAGTTCACTGATTGGTAGACTTCTTAGCTTAGCGGCATATTCTTCAATAACGAGACCATACCTTATTTCTCGCGTTGCACTCCTATAATGCAGTCTTCTAGCACAGTCATATAAAGTGACGTGACCGTTGGGTGAAAAAATATTTGATAAGGTTCCCCAGTGGACCCACGTTTCTGTAAGCGCAGTGAGTGGCACAATTTGAATAAATGGGCTTCCATCCCCTCTAAAGTTACAGTTACCTTCGATTTTTTGAAATCCCGTTGATTTGGAATCTTGGGTTGATTGCAAAATGCCCATAGCCGCATTTATAACTTCAACGCTAATAGGTAAACATTGCTTTATCTGCTCCTTGTGCATGCAGTCAAGTCCTAGTGATGGGAGCCAAGGCTCGATAATTTTACTCGATTCGGTGAAGAGTAGGTCCCCATCCGTTTCTACAAGATTTGTTAATGGTTCATCTAGTGATTCGCCATCTTCCCTGCATGGTGAAAATACCTCTGACATACCATCCCAGTCATATTTTGTGGGGGGGGGATTCGCCATGATACGGCTTAGTACCACATACACCAGGTGATAAATTTTTAACTGGACTTAATTCTGAATCGTCTTCACATTGTTCCAATTTGTGGTCAAGTTGACTTATTATGGATAGGCTTGGTGAATGCATTTCATTTGGAGAAGTCAGGCTGCTCATACGGTATTCAAAAGGGGAACAGTCAGTCATTACCGATAGAGTTTCCTCTTTAGATCTAGAATTCACTAGCTTGGACGGGTCACTAGACACAGTCATTCTACCGAAAGTATCGAACTGCACCTTAAGTCCTGTCGCATTCTCTATGTTTAAAACTCTATTGAAATTCGCATTTTCATTGTTTAAGTCAATTAGAGAACGAAACATGAAAATATGGGTTAGAGGATGCATTTGGTTTAGAAAATGCATATTCAAATCGTAAACACCATGAAGCTGTTCTGCTGCTTCACTGTTGATTTTTCCAAAAAGCTCTTTTACACATGCAATCCTTCTTAATGATTCTACCTCCCTTTTTGTATTGGACTCGTGTAACCTGTCGAAGAGTGCTAAGTGAGAGTCACTCCCTGTTACTGGGTGTACATCATTACCGTTTTGTGGCGTTTTGGACAGGCCATGACTTTCAAGCCAGGGTATCGAGACTTGTAAAGAGTTATTGACAGCCAGTTCGATATTTTCATGTGTAGCTTCTGCAGCTCTTCCTGCATATGGGGCGAATAAACCTGGGTGACGCCTGTTTCCGAAATTGGCGACCATATGAGCCATGTCATTTATTAAGATGTTAGGCCGGTATTTTAGGCTCCGCAAAATGTCTATATAGTCACGTGGACTCTCTGACCTGAGAAGAAATTTAACAGCATAAATTATTCCATGTTTACACGAAAGCGTTAGCCATCCACCCGAACAACCGAACATTTTTTTGAATATTTTGTTAAACTGTCCACTTTCACCCTGTATGCTTCTTTTAATACGATTGACTATGTCTAGTTTTGAGCCTTTAGTGCTTATACCAATCATTTCAGCGGTATCTTTTACATCTTTTAAGTTCCCCTCCATTACAGTGTTGAGCAGCCTTTCCTCTGTCAATTCACGGCATTCACATTCTGGTTCCTTCGTGTTGGTACTTAATTTTCTATACTCTGTGTTGAATAGAAAATTATTTTTTCTTGTTTTAGGGCCAATATACGGCGCCCAAAACGATAAGCTAGGTTTTAGTCGCAAACTGGGACATTCTCTTGATCCAAAACCTTTGCTTAAATGATGTTTTTCTACATTTTCCCAGAAATAAATACAGTCAACTTCTTCGTTTAAGTTTTCTTCGTTCAATTGCTGTTCATCAGTAAAACGATTTTTGAAAGCTACCTTCCTATTAACATCAGCTATCAATATAACGGGAAAATAGCCACATTCAACACAAGTAAACTCGTAGCTTCTATCACTTAATGCTTCAAAATGTATATACGCATTCAAGAGTGACTGATTATCAATATTTGTACTGTGTATTCCTGCAATTATTTTAGACGCTGTCCCTACTGCTACATGATTTTTTAGCGATTCGCGCAGATACAAACATATGTCTAACCCTACAATCAAAATATCATTAAAATTGTGCAACCCATCTGAGTACTCTTGGTATCTATAAAAATTACAACAAACATTGCACTTTTTGAAAAATGTTTCTACACCCTCAATGTAACCATCCAGCGTCAGTATTCGAGCACGAAAAGTTATCCTAAACGGACCGGTAAGTTTGGCGTGACATTCATGACAATCAATTTCGACCGGCATCAGCACCGTTGGAATGTTTTCCCTTTTTAACGGTTTTGAAGCACGAGGGGCTGTGAAAGGGATACGTTTTTGACTTCTCATGTAATCAATCATTTTTAGAAGAGATTCCTCAGTTTCGGGTGGATATAAAATCGTTTTATCACTTGTTGGTTTCAATATTGTTTCTTCATCAGATACATAATCAAGATTTGAAGGCTCCTGGTAATCATATTGATTTGTTTTATTGTCATTTAATTTTTCTGTCTGGTGTAAATACCAAAGAGACATTGCTTTGTGCAAACAAAAAAACCTATTTACATTACATCTACAGTCCAGCTTTCCACTTACTTTATTATACGAGACTACATAACGTGATCTAACAGGAAAGTTGCTATAGTTCCCGTCAAAGACAGATAAATGCAAATAGTTGTTGTCATCCCACTCAACAATAGTAGGTGATGTCTGAACCTCTGATTGCCATTTTTTTTCGAGACATTTTTCAATAGTTTCATCGGTTAAAATTTTGAATCTTTCAACACTAGACATTTCTAAAAGTTTTTCTTCTTGCAACGTAAAAGTTTCAGGAAACGATGCATTATTAACTTGCATTAAATGGTAGCATTCTCTTGCTGTCATCCCTGACCTAGCGGCTATTACCATTTCCTCCCTGCATAGCTCACTTTCACAGTCTAGTTTTTTATCTTGATTGACATGAAGTACCTTTTGAACATGCAGTGGAAAACCTATTCCTCCTTTTTTAGATTTTTTGACCATATAAAGCCCTTCTACGGGATCACAGCATACTGCTGTAGCTTTGCTTAACAGCCCGTGTATTGCCTTTTTGTGCCGACTAATGCTTTTTTGATGCATTGATTTGCCACAAATGTCGCAATTGATTCGTTCGGCCTTGTCACGTACCGCTCGAATAGGATTGATTTTGTTCTTTGTCGTGTCAATTTCCCCGAAATTCCCCTGCGTTAGAACTTCCTTTTTTAATGTGCGTGCGGGTATGAATTTCGTGTTTTTGTCGGTCTGTTCATCATGACCCCCTAAGTGTACCGTGAAAAACCGTTTTTGTTGAATAATTTTTAGGCATTCCGGACAATGATAGTGGTATGTATCGTTTCTGGAAAATTTCTTTTCAAGATGGATTAATTTACACGGCAAAATACGAAAATTTCTCCAAACAGCCATTTTATTTTCATCTAAGTGGGTTTGCTGGATGTGACGGAATGCTTTAGAGATAACGGAGAAAGTGAGAGATTGCGAGCACAATGAACAGTGGAAATGTTTACCCGTTTGATTACAATTGCAGCATGCATCATGAGATTTGATGTTTGACAGAATGAAATTTTTAGGAAATAAGTTTACTTCCTTGTCAAATATTGATGGGTGGGTACCTTTATTAATCACTGGTTCCGCTGTGCCTTTCGACTGCTTTATAGGAGTACCAAGAATTTTCGGAACCTCGTTCGCAACATTCTTATTTTCGCTTACTTCTACTAAGTCAACATGAAAGTCTTTTCTATCTAAATGTTTACCAAAATTCACGCCTGAATCGGCTCTTTTAGTCGGATGCTCATCTTCAATGTTAGAACTTGGGGTATTGAAACTGTTATTGTCCACCTTTTGGGAAGCGAAACTTTTTGACGGTGGTGACAAATCAGTTGTTAGACTTAATGAGCTTTTAAGTACATTTATATCTATTTTCCTATCTAAGAGCCATTTACTCACTGTTATTCGCAAAAAATCATTATATAATGACAGTTCTTTCAAATAGCGGTAACCAACGTTCCGTATGTCTGTTGTTCCACGCAAAGATAAAAATGATGCTTCGTCATATGCTGCTAAACACATAACGATGATACAGGCTACACCACAAATATGGGAATCAAACTGGAAGGGGTAAAATGACCAACACTTACTTGAACAGTGATGTGTGTACAAAGATTTTTGTATGGTGTAAGTAGAAGGACCATTATAATGGCATGTTGATATCTTGACAGGAGAAGGGTGATCTTTCTTTAATCGACGAATCAAGCTTTTAAATACTGCTAGAAAGTCGTTAGGAATAGGCCAGCCAAGTGAATCTCCGTAGTAAAGTGTGTTAATTGTTGTATAATACACACCAAGTGCAAAATGATTCCCAAATTGAGAACCGTCGCTAGACTGTCCGACAAAAGTTTGCTGACTATCAAAACCTACACAAACCGCCAGAATTATTTTTCTAGGCAAATTGTCCTTAAATTTCTGCGTTATTTTGTTCGCTAAGCCGTCTATACTGGATTCAAAGTTATAGTAAACAGCAAATGTGTCTTTGATATCATGGTTTATAAGATTTGCTATAGAATCTATTATACAATCATTAATCCATCTTTTCCCAACTAGAGTTTTTAAATCATGAACAGATAACTGCAAGGAGGGATACTCATGATTGTCGGGCCTTTCCTGTACTTTTGTAATCAAATCGCGGGCAGTATCTATATCAGGCCTTTTTGTACCTGGGGGGTGCTCAAAAAAGCCCAAAACCTTTCTAAGCCATCGATTTTCGATCTCTATCTCATACTTAATTGCTTTTTGCTTTATGAAATTTCTGCAGACTTCAAGGGAATTTAAGTCATGGTACACATTACCATACATAACCGCATGCTCCTGCCTTGTTGTGTCATAAAGCTGCTTTAATTTTACGACCATACTGTTGATATGTTTTTGAGGCGGTATGGTCCTAAAGTGTTTGTCTACGGATACGTTTGTTAATAAAGGGACACACTTACGTATAATGCTAGCAACTACTGGCGGGACCTCTCCTTCTGCAGCAATTCTACGGGCAGGATCTTCCATTCTCTCGGGCTGCTTCTCCAGGTCAATTGTCTAAGATATTAAAGTATCAGGTTATAACATCATAGCTACTTTTAATAATTCTGAAAAGTTATTTTGGGAAACAGAGAAATGTAAAAACTTGACATTACAGAATGCGAGGGACAAATCACGTTAAGAAAATCTCGTACATCTTAATAAAAATCCTATTGTTTTATCTGAAAATCCCTAGAAATACTTTTGTTCTCGGCAAAATATCATGCGCCATTTGCAAGAGTGAATCGCCCCTCGACAGGATGTAGAAGCCGTCTTAGAAAACACAGTACCTCACGGACTGTAGCTCGGCTAGCAACTATTGGCGAGACCTCTCCTTCTGCAGACATTTTGAGGGCAGGATCTTCCATTCTCTCGGGCTGCTTCTCCAGGTCAATTGTCTAAGATATTAAAGTATCAGGTTATAACATCATAGCTACTTTTAATAATTCTGAGAAATTTATGCTAGGTAACAGAGTGATGCAAAAGCTTGACATTACAGGATATAGAAGTCGGCTTAGAAAACAATACCTTACAGACTGCAGTTCGGTCCTGTTTCTTGGGTCCACCGCCATTTAGACTCACTGCGACAGGATCTGCAATTTAAAAATTCAACTGTAAATTCAACCGAAACATATTGTTATTATGTTGAAAATTTCTAAAGATTTGCGTTAATGTTACAAAATTTAAGCTGATACCTTTTTGTTCTGCTGCTTCAATTAGCAAGCTTGCCCAATCGACGATCTCTATTCTGTGGTCTGTAGAAGCTAGATCAGAAAACATTGAATCGTTTAAAGATCATCATTTTCAATTTCATTCTCTATTAAAAAATGGAAAAATTTTTATATTTTCAAATTTAAGTCTTTGTTAAAAGTACAGTTATTTTTACTTTGCCAAGGGACATTATGTTTTGCAAAACGTCTTTTCATGAGCGATTTAAATCTTACTTCAATTGGCAATTTTCAAAGCAATCTGCAACTGTAAAATTAAATCAAAGAGACATACCGTTTTTTCCTCTTTTCTTCTTCTTCTTCGTTGGCTGTTTACCAATTTTGGCACTTGTTTTTTTTATCTTCAAGAAAGTATAAAAAGTAATCAGTGGGTAGTTTATTAACATTTATAAACAATAATGATACATTGCATCTTTTAAGAGAGCACAATTTATGATTGTTATATTAATTATTTTGAAATCACGGTATTCTGTTGCTGGAAGGGCATAACGTTTAAAGGGGGGTGGGTAAAAGTACCTTGTTAGCCATATCCAAAAACGTAGGAAACATTTGAAAAATGGGGGGGGGACACACATATAGTCATAAAAGGGGCACCTCGGTAAGCTGTTTATAGGCACTATACTTCTGAAAATTAGGGGGCTGCCCTCAGACCCCCTAGGTTCCTAGGTCTATGACCAAATCACAAACAAATCAGTTAAAAAAACACCGGAGTGTCCGAATGTATTTGAAAAACTACAAACAAAGCTACCTGAATCAATCAATTATATCAACTTACAGTGCCGTTTTTGTTTTGCAGCCATTTCCAGGGTATCTGGACCGCTCCCACGATTATTCCCCTTCTACTGTCAATTTGCAACGGCTGCGGCTGCTTAACGACTTCTCTGCTACTCCATCGTCTTTTCCTGTATCAAGGGAAGTCGTTTGAATTTGTAATCAGGGTTATCTTTACATAATGTAGGGTATCTGAATTTTCAAATCAAATCAAATGAATTGTATTAAAAACGTTTCTGAATTAATGTTTAATGGAATCTAAAAATGACATACACATAGCTGGTTCTTTTTCTTTCACCAATGTGTGTTACCTTCAAAGGCATGGCTTCCTTTTCAGCTTTGACCGATTGTTTGCCTGAAGAAAAAAAGAAAAAATTGTCAGTTAAATAGGGAAAAAATTGGAACAATTATGATGAGCGTAGACTTGAGATACGCCGGTATTTTCAAGCTAAACTATGATTTTAAAACCATCAGGCCGTAACGATTAAGGCTCTTTCTGACATTACAAAATCCAAGGCTAAAAAAACACTCTCAAACAAACGCAAATCGACTCTTGAACTGACTTTTATCTCATTCAGATAAGAGCTGCTATCTCTCAGGTGCATGTGCTTTACAGTTTCTTTCGTTAAAAACTCACCGAGAGGGTTATGGTTCTTCAGCTCCCTCCAAATGAATGCAGGGCATACCCTTGGCCTTCTCGTCTTTTCTGTTTCTTCAACCTCGGCTTCGATTTTCGCAAGTTGATCCACGATTAACGAGACGAGTCGTGGCAAACCAAAGTTAGCACTTAAATGGACGCTGTCTTTGTTCGACCAAAGTGAAAGGTCCCAGCGATCAAAATGCTCCTCCGCATCATAGAATGCAACATTTGAAGCAGACGCCTCTCTTGCCATCATACGATTGTAATGGCCGAGTCGGACGTCTGCCTCATCGAGCCGCGGCAGGATCGACACTACAAGAATCTATAATGAAAAGGCACTTGAATTATCTTGATTTATTCGAGGAATTCCAAAATTGCATTTTTTGACAAATGATAATAAATAGCTAACAGTTTTTCAACAAGATGTAGCTATGTATGAAGTAATTATGAGAATAAAATTCATTTTCACATTATGATAGTAATTATGATAATATTACAGCCTCCTTAAAAAGAAACATTTTGCAATTTTTGCATGAGAACCTCCCCCCTTCCAGCTTGTGCTAGAGTCATTCTTTAAAAAAATTTTTCGAAAATTTTGTCATATTTGCCCAAAACAATGTTGTACAATGAAATGGTTTGATAATGTTTGCAAATTCTAAAGTCGGGCAGTTATTTGAGACTAGACACATACCTGTGCAGTCGGGAAAAACTTTTTGACTGTCGCAAGCAAATAACAGAAATCATCCTTGGCTCTATCCAAAACCATGTGTTTAGCCAAATCGTTGGTACCGACCACCAACGTAACGCATTTTGGAGAGCATTTCTTTTTTAATGCTTCACCGACACTGGCTAGTTCGGTTGCAACATGTCTGAACTGGCCTCCAGGTGTAGAATTGACGTACCAGTCATCTGGACAGTCAACGGTCCCATCCACAACTGGTCTTAGTTGGGAGTCGGAAAAGATACAGACCTGTTGAAGGGAATAACTAATGTTATACGGCGCATGATAATCAGGCGAATCATTAGAAACTTTATACAGTTTTATATGATAGTGTATAAACTGAAAGCTAAAAGATGACTTATATTTAGCCTCGGTCACAAAACTAAACTATCAAGCAGCAGGTTATTAAGAAGAAATGTTCTTCTACGATTTTTTCACAAAAATATCCGTTTCTTATTCATATTTAATTGTAAAAAACATCTAATGGGTGTTAACAATTAGTTCATATAGTAGCAAGCGATAACAATTAGCGGTTTTGAATGTTACATATAGAAATTTTTACAGTATATGAATTTTGTAAGGCTCCTGTCTGTAATTTTGTGCATAGTTACTTACTGTTTCCTCGGAAAATCCATTGGCAGGCTCTAACGCCATATTTTGTTTACCCGAAGCGCCTTCCCGCCATCTATTTGCCGGTGGTCTCCAGCCTTCTCCTTTCAGATCTTCCCCTCTCCATCGCCATTCATGTGCAGCGCACCCGACGAAATCTATGATTCCAGCACCGTTATGCCGTTCACGCTTAATGTAGGGACGAACCCTCTTCTTCACTACAATACCGCGCATTGTAGTACACTAAACTAATCTGCATACCGTAATCGGACCTTATATACCTGGAACACGTGCAAGAATGGGAAATACATCCAAGCTTAACTAACCAATCATTTTCGAGAAAATTTCGGACACAAGGCCAAGTCCAATAACCACCTGGCCAATGTCGTGATTGGTTTTGGCTTCTGGTCTGGATATATTTTGGTCGTTTCCTCTCCCTACCAGGTATTTCCGTAAATTGGCAACCCCGTGCAAATACTGAAATTATGCAGTATGTCAAGTGGCAAGTTGAAACTCTCGATTCTACCTTTATTGGGCTAAAAGAACGTTTTTACGCAAGGGATTGTATCCACATCCAGTTTTAAAAGACGTACCACTTTTTAAGATGACTTTATTTTGGTAAACCCAAATATTGGGGTATTGTTACCAGATTTTATCAAGTTGATCAGATCATACTGGATACTGAACCTAAAATATGCGATGCAGTCTGAGGATCAATAAAGCCAGTTAATAACACTAAGAAATTGAATGATTTGATTCAAAGTTTGTCCCTTAAAATAAAGCTTATTTTCGTATAGAACTGTAAATAATCTGTAGTCCTATAAAGTGCGCCATGCTTTTTCTGATAAATGAAAGTACAATGCTGTAAAAGATAGTAACGATGAAGATGAAGAAAAAATAGTAACGAAAGATAAAAGTAATAAGACGAAGAAAGAATCTTTTCAACGTGAAAGCGTCAAATATTTTCATTGTAGCAGAAACTTTGTAAATTTAAACAAATTTCATATCAACAAAGTTAGTGAAAATCCTTTCTTGGTAATATTTAGATTAAACATTCAAAAATGAGACACACTAGATGCGCGTTAATATTTCATTAACGAGCATTAACCACAAGTTGATTAACTAATTCTTTGCTTTTACTGCACACAACAAGAACTAAAACTAAGTTGATATATACTGAAACTGTGAAAAAATTTTCAAAGGATTTTTCAAAGTTTAGAATCAATTTCAAAGCAAAAGCGAGATCACAATTTCTAAACAGATCAAGGGAAATCTCGCTGGAAATCTCATTAGCTAAAGGACTAGAAACGACAACACATACAAAAAAGATTGCGCGTACAAAAGATTCATGGAAAATCATATAATTTCACAAATTCATGTCACATCCCGGTGTCGGAAGTCCAACCAACAAACAGGAAGATATTGCTGTAGTCTATCCTCATTACACCGACACGAATCAAATTGTAGCACTCCCGTACTCCGATAAAACAACTCCTACAATAATGAATTTTTTCAAAACTGTATCCTAGAAACAATTTGACCCCCGTAGTTGTCAGCTGAACGAGCGAGCCCTATATTCTTGCTAAAGGCTCCCACGTTACTCGGCTCGATAGTCGCACCAAAACTTGGTACGAACAAAATAAAACGAAACTTAAACAGCTAAACTTATATTTTGTATGAGTTTTAAAGGTATAATCGGTCATACAAGAGGCAAAATTTATGCAAAAGTGTACAGAGGTCCGCGCTACTCTGAGAATCTTCTATATCTGACCCGGGGGTGAAGGCCCCGCGCGTGTCTCCCACAACCGAGGTGTAGTTCTTGGGGAAGATAATTTTTGAACAAGCAAAAAACGCAATGTGACATGTGGATTTGATTTTCAGAATGCTGCATATAATCAAAAGGTTGATTTGCAACCTTGAGAACATAGCGAAACCCTCTTTCTTCTAACTTCTAGTTCATAAAAATCCCCAGTCAATGCTCGTCATATAAACAAGGCAAGCAACATTAAACACCAGGAACCCCACAAAACAATAAAACAAATAAAATTTAAACGCAAGTGCACCGATTTCAATTGGCCGGCGAAACAGTTTCAGTCAAGATTTTTTCAAAACTGTATCCTAGAAACAATTTGACCCCCGTAGTTGTCAGCTGAACGAGCGAGCCCTATATTCTTGCTAAAGGCTCCCACGTTACTCGGCTCGATAGCCGCACCAAAACTTGGTACGAACAAAATAAAACGAAACTTAAACAGCTAAACTTATATTTTGTATGAGTTTTAAAGGTATAATCGGTCATACAAGAGGCAAAATTTATGCAAAAGTGTACAGAGGTCCGCGCTACTCTGAGAATCCTCTATGTCTGACCCGGGGGTGAAGGCCCCGCGCGTGTCTCCCACAACCGAGGTGTAGTTCTTGGGGAAGATAATTTTTGAACAAGCAAATAACGCAATGTGACATGTGGACTTGATTTTCAGAATGCTGCATATAATCAAAAGGTTGATTTGCAACCTTGAGAACATAGCGAAACCCTCTTTCTTCTAACTTCTAGTTCATAAAAATCCCCAGTCAATGCTCGTCATATAAACAAGGCAAGCAACATTAAACACCAGGAACCCCACAAAACAATAAAACAAATAAAATTTAAACGCAAGTGCACCGATTTCAATTGGCCGGCGAAACAGTTTCAGTCAAGATTTTTTCAAAACTGTATCCTAGAAACAATTTGACCCCCGTAGTTGTCAGCTGAACGAGCGAGCCCTATATTCTTGCTAAAGGCTCCCACGTTACTCGGCTCGATAGCCGCACCAAAACTTGGTACGAACAAAATAAAACGAAACTTAAACAGCTAAACTTATATTTTGTATGAGTTTTAAAGGTATAATCGGTCATACAAGAGGCAAAATTTATGCAAAAGTGTACAGAGGTCCGCGCTACTCTGAGAATCCTCTATGTCTGACCCGGGGGTGAAGGCCCCGCGCGTGTCTCCCACAACCGAGGTGTAGTTCTTGGGGAAGATAATTTTTGAACAAGCAAATAACGCAATGTGACATGTGGACTTGATTTTCAGAATGCTGCATATAATCAAAAGGTTGATTTGCAACCTTGAGAACATAGCGAAACCCTCTTTCTTCTAACTTCTAGTTCATAAAAATCCCCAGTATAATCTTTTAAAGGTGAGCTACGCGAATGTCTTTCATGTACGGCTGTTACAACATGGCCGCTTGCTGAAAGTGTATGGCTGAATGTCTACTGGCCGAGAAGCCGCTGTGACTTGAAATAACTTTCATCTATCATCGCGACGATAACGAACCGAAACGGCTTTGGCGGCACTTAAGAACATAATCTTGATTGACAATCCCTATACTGGGGCTGGACCGTATACTGGGGCGCCTTATACTGGGGGAAACGTTACCAACGTTGCTCAGCTCGGCAGAATATTTGTCAATGAATATTTTCAGAAGTTATACCAAAACAATCAAATGACAGCGTAATAAAATCTTGACTGTTTTGTATTCATTGGCATTGTATTCAAACATCATCAGGAGTGAAAAGTTCTTTTGTCTTCCGAGACAAATGACAACAACATCGGTTGCTTCCGATTCCCTAGCAAAACAAATCGTCCATCTTGATGGGCCTAAGTGAATAAGTAGTATTTGTGATTTAAATTCATGGAGACTTACTTTCCCATGTGAAGTCTTTTCTGAAGATGATTTGGTATTGTGTCTTTTCTGCTCCATAATATAAAAACGCTGCATCCAACAAGCAGTAGAAAAAATCCGTAAACGAATGCCTTTGACATGTTCATTTTGCAACGAATTCTCATAACAATGTTAACCAGAATCAATTCATATCGATAACAAACAACGTTTTGTTTTGGTTTCAGACTCAATGATTAAAACCTATCTTAGGCCATTCGTATTTTCAAAGTTGAAATTTTTTGTTAGAACAGGCCTACAAGTTACATGTGCATCGCGGTAATTTTTGCTGGTTTATATTTGTCAGCTAGGATTCTATGGACGATCGAAAATACACAATGCAGCCACCAGTATTCAATCTCTTTGCGTGCGCCTTGCTCTTGGTACCCGTTAAAATAAACAGCCTCTTCGCAGAGTTTTTACCAAACGAGGCAAAGCTACATGTGGCGTTAATTGGGCTGGGTCGACACGCCCTTATACAATAAGCCCGTCTCTGAGGAAGGGAACAGGGCTTTGGTCGTTTGATACAACAAAACATCATGATTGAGTTCTTTTGAATCTACTAGGATTATGAATTTCACCCTATGCAAAACATGCATATCTCTTGCAAAATCTCACTTATTTCTTTTGCGATATGAGTCAAAAAATACGCTAGTCTCAAAATTTTTAGTTCGTTTTTTGTAATGATATCAATATTGAGATTTCTAACTAGCTTGTTAGTAGTTTAGCCCCCGCCATCTGTTAAAAGACTTTCTTATGTTTCATTTATCCCCCATCCTAAAGTTAGTTGAAGCTGGTAATATTTATTTCTTCGCTAAATTGCTCCACTTCAGTACTATTCTCTATATTAGCATTTCGCATTTAGGAAATGAAACTCTAAGATGGAAGTAACTAAACACACCTGGTGTTAACTCGTCTCTTTCTTTCCCTGCATCATATTTTTTATCTTTCTCGCTACATCAACTTCTAAAAGCATATCATCAAGTTTTAGTGTTTTTGAAAAAATTTACAGCCAGGAGAAATTTGTGATAAAATGAAAAATTTGATATATTGGGATCTTTATCATTAATGGATAAGTCAAAGATAAAAATATTTACAATATGTATAGATTTCAATTGAACTGTAATGTTCATATTTTCAACCGATATTTTGTTAACATTCTTTCACTTGTTAACGATATGTTTTTAGAATGAATGTTTATTTTGTAAAAGCTTGTCAAAAAGCAATTCCTAATTATGAACACACATTGCTCAAACTTTTAATTTCATATGTATTTTTCATTTTATTGTTTTATTTGCCATTAGCACTATTTTCTTCAATCTATACCAGTTTTTTTAAAAAAGCGCTGTCAAATGAACTTGGAATTAAGTTTGAAACCAAGTATGATCAAAGACTCAAGAGCGATAAGAGTTATCTGCAAAAAGTTTTTCCAGATATCTAATTATCAATGAACATCTAGGGGAGCTTGAAGTTGACCAATTTCAAAACACTCAAGCTCTCACTTTTATAGTTCGAATAAAAAGTGGCCTTCAAGGTTGATGATTATTTTTAGAAGGAATCCTTTTAGTTCATTTTAAAAACCTTTTTTTGATGGGAAATGATTTAAAGATACATGTAGCAAAATAAGTATTCAGCAGATTAAATGACTGTAATGGGGCTTTGCACAATGTTTCGGTCTTGCATTTCTTTTAAGACTCTATGCTGTGCCTTATCGGTAGTTTAGTTTTGGGGAGAAACGAGGACTGTTTTAAAACAGAAAAGTCACGCTGAAAAGGAGCCATTGCCAAAGCATCGTATTCCTTGCTAATTTTCCCTTAGAACAAGTCGACCATCCATTTCACAGATCCTGTATTAAATCAACCTTAACTGTTCCTAACTTAGTTAAGTTTTGGGGAAAACCGAGAAATGCTTAAACAGAAAAGTCACGCTGAAAAGGAGTGGATAACTCACTTCACAGATCCTGTATTAAATCAACCCTAATTTAGTTATGATTTGGGGAAAACCAAAGTGTGTCAACGAAAGGTCACGCTAAGCCTGAAAGAAGCGCATTGACGATAATATAAACTAAAGATAATTAATTGCTCGCCAAAATTAGTTAATTCCTTGTAATTTTCTTCCATGGAACAACTAAGACATCCATTACACCAACATCAACCCTAGTTTAGGGGCGTCATGGACACGAGCCTCTATCTTCTACTTTATCCAAGTACAAGCCTTAGCCATACCCCTTGCTCTACCCATACTATTGCAGAAATATGTACAATTTGTATTTATTTTGAACTTCCTACCATAGGTCATTTAGGTCTCCCTGTTTGTATAGACAAGATAATTTTAAAGATGAAATTTTTCCAGATAACTTTTATTCATTCTTTTAACTTTTTGCAGTGCAAATTGAATTAATTTTGCTAAAATATGTCGCTATGAATTGTTCCTGCTTTAATCACGAACATACACAATAATGTTGTCGTCTATTTACAAAAAATGATATTACACTTTGCAACTTTTTATATAACTCTCAGCAAAGATTAAGTAGACAGAAATACTTTAATGTGAATAGAAGATGGATAGAATCGCTAAGCGTTACTTTAACTCTGAATCATTTGCAAGTACATTTTGTTTTAATTTTGTCGCTGCTTTACACCTTCGTAACTAATTTGGACTCCTTGCCTAATGCAAAGTTTCTAAACTGGCTCTTTTATTCCTGTTTGATAATAATCAATTAAGGGGCTTATACAGAAATCACGGACGCGGTAGCTCTGGCAGACTAGCCCCCAGTAACTCATTAAGATGTATACAACGAATCAATTGAATCTTGGCTTTCACGATTTTGAGCCTCCAACCCTAATGAATGTATCCCAAGATATCTTAGTTGTGTCTTGAACATTCTCCTATATCGTTGTTTAATGTGACATGATGTCAACAATGTCTTACGGAAGACCTTTCTTTAACCATATGCTTTTATACATTGTATCCATCTTCAACGAAACAATTTTACATTATGCCATATTGAGATCTCTTTATTGAATAAAATATCATAGCGTAGTTTTTTATTGCAGTATGACTTTAATCATTCCTAGTTTCGTTATAAAATATTACACATAGTTTTACTATGATATTTACTAGATATTACTTATTGATAAATATTTACATGCATTAGTACCCGTCTGTCTTGGCTCGAGTATGCCTTCTAGGATCTGTTTTTGAGTAAATTTTTCCGTCTTTTCCTTCCCTGTAAATTGCTTGCAAAACTGTTCGTTCTGAGCCGACTGTGATTTTGTGATCTTTCTTTTTCAGTCCATCATGAATGAACTTCTTCACAGGGAACGCTTCGTATTCCTTGACTTCGTTTGGGAACAGGCAATGGTGCAGTCTCCCAGCCATCATTGAATTTCCAAAATCCATTCCAAACCAAAACTTCATCATTATGATCTAAGGTATGTTACAAAAAAAGAAACTGAAACTCTAGAACTGTTTCAACATTATCAAAAAGGATGAAACTGTAATACAAGCCACCAGCCTAGACTAATCTCAAATCTTTATTTGTATCGCGAAAAAACTCCTTGGAACAAACGTAAATTCGGCTAGATGACATGATTTCCGTAAACCGTTCATTCTTTATTTCAAGCACCTGTCCCTTATTTTGAGGCTTTTGTCGCATGCACGAAGATGTTACTTTACATACCTCATTAATTGCATTCTTGTTATCAAAGCATTTTCCTTACCCAGGCAATTGATCCAGGCACCTTTGTTCCTCCAGCTCCACCAGATATCATTCTAACATCGCCGTTGTCATCAACAATAATATTTGGTGCAACAGCTGACAATGGCCTTGAGAATGGCTTTGGCAAATTCTCCTCAGAAGCCGTGAATTTATGCTCATCCGAATCTACTGTATATGAATCACCCAGCTGGTCATTGTAGAGTATTCCAGTCGTGTCGGATAGAAAATGTGCCCCATATCTAGAAAGATTTCATATCTAACAGTCCAAACGAATATCTTATACCAAAGCCAATATCACCAGACAAACGAATATTATATACCAAAGACGAATATCAAAATCCAAACGAATATCATAAACTAAAACAAATATCACAATCCAAACGAATATTACAGACCAAAACCAATATCACCAGACAAACGAATATCATATACCAAAGACAAAATCATAATTCAAACGAATTTCACAGACTAAAACATATTTCTTTTTCTATAGATTTCAATTCATACTACTACTACTTAGCTATCATCAGAAAAGAATAACCATACTTAAGATTGAGTGAGCTTGTTGCTGACACGGCATCACCATTTTCTGCCAACACGCTGATGTGAGCCGTTCCATGGTCATCCCTTGCATTCAAAGCCTTGCTGTAGTAAGTGATGTCGTGTGTCTTTTCATCATCAATCATTTTAAAGTGCTTCTTTGCCATTTCTGGGTCAAGTATACTCTTGAAAAGCTAGAATTAAAAGTAAAACAAGACGCATTATAGCTCATTGTAGCAATAAAATACTTTAGGGTTTTATGAAACTATCATGCCATTTTTCATAAAATAAAAATTAACTGAGGCATGAGGGGCAATGCAAGTAATTGCCCTTTGTAGATTCAATTTATAATGCCATACTGCATTTTGTGCCACTACTTCTTGATCACTGGTGCCTATTATAACGGCCCTCGCCAAAAGTCGTACCAGCAAGTTATAGATGATTTCAACGTCTCTGGTTTGTGTAGCTCTCCGAAATCAAGAATCTATTGATTTTTATTTTGCTGGGTCTTTCATAGATAGGGAATTCTTTAGGATTCTGGGTCGGTGCTTTGCCATTTAATTAGAAGACCAGCTTCACTCAAAAGCTCCTTAGAATGTTATGGCATGGCAATGAAGGATCAAACAAACACGATGAAGTAGTCTTTTACGACAAAAGAATGACAAAAATTTATCATAAGACAATGGTTGAACACATGTGGAATGAATGGACATGGACATGTGGCAATCAGAAATTCGTTTACTGCAGTTCAATGTTTCTGGTTATTCGACCATCACCATATTGAAGTGCGCTTTACAAGAAAATTGCAGACTTATAAGATATCTCTCTTAAAGACACTTTGTCCCGTCAGTCAATCTTCAGGCTTTACAGCGCATGGATAATCGATAGAACATTGAAAATTAGCCTTATGTTCCGATTGGATGCGTAACAATAGATCCATTGTGTAGTCCAACCAATGAGAAATTTAGATGGCCAGCGAAAATGCGTCGGGACATAGTGCCTTTAAATGTAAAATTTAATCAAGCAATAATGAAAGCGTTTCTTCTCTGTTTTGATTCTTACCTCTTCTAGCTGTGTTTTATTTTTAGGATAGTCAGGGTCAGAAAAGTACGGACGAAATGCATTTGCGAACTTGATGGCTTCGAGGACTCGATGATATGTGAGTACAGTTTTCTCTTCAGTTGAAAAGTCTTCATTTGAAAACTTGAAATCTTCAAAAAAACACAAAATTAGATTTTAATGGCTAGTTAAGGAAGAATCCCTTGCTACGGTCCTTACAAAAGCAAAATCAACACTCAACACCGACTGTAAATGAGAGAGATGACGAATGAAGCTTGGCTTTGGTATTTTCCTATTCAATGTCATGGTGACGAGACCAGGAGATGTGTGCTTTCTCTGGCGCAATTTCTGTGAATTCAAGGCCTTAAAAGTAAAAGTTGAGACTTTATGGATGTTTTACTGCAAGGCAATTATTCCATATTTCTTCCTACACCACGTATCCCATCCATTAAAAATTGGGTAGGAGTATTTTTATTTGAATTTGCTACTCCCTCGCTTCCGAAAGGAATTTTTTATGACACCGAGGAGCTATGCATATCGAGCTCTGGGCTTTCCTCTAATGCTCCCATCAAGACGTGTCAAATTGACGATGAAACCATCTTTGAGATTGTTAGCTAGGGGTCCGGATTGAGTGAATATTTTTAGCGTTGATATAACTACAGACAGTCCCGAGACATTTTGGGTTTTAAGATTTCATTTTGTGATTTTTTTAAAGGAAGAATAGCAAGCTTGAAAACAACCATCGTGCTACTAGGATTTATGAGCGTTAAGTAGTAGTTTGATGAAATGTTCCCTGGCAAGATAGTGGTTTGATTCATCTCGGTTGTACATTGGTTACACATCGGTTAAGCTTTTATTTTTGAGTGAAGTTTTATACAATTTTTTTAGGAGTTTGTCCAGGAGAAAAATACATACTTTTGCATATTTCTAGAGTGTGGATGACAGTTGGGCCACCAGTCGGTAACGGCAGTGTGTGGAGTGTAAGGTCTTTTATTTTCATCGTAATTGGCTTTCGCATCTTCACTTGGTAGTTTTTCAAGTCGCTTTTTTCCATAACTCCGCCTTTCTTTTTAATATCAGATACCATTATGTCAGCCAACTCTCCTTCATACATCGAATTCGGGGCGTCTCGGATCTTCTCCAGTGTCTTTGCATAATCTGGTCTTTTGATGACCGACTTCCAGATTATCTCCGGCTCTTCTTGTTTTAGCAGCAATTTTCTGTAGGATTTGAATAGGACATAGAGAAATAGTGAATAAGACATAGAAAATAAATGTGAGTTTAATATTCAGAAAGAACCTCTAACTGTAGTCCTGTTTTACGTAATACACTCATTTCTTGTTATAAAAATCTAAGGTCCGGTGCTTGTAGGCAGTTTCTTAAATTTCCTGGCCATTTTGCTATCAAACGTCTCTTACATGTTTCTTAAATTTCTTAGGTAATGATTTTTTAAACGTGCTTCCAAAGTAAAGTGATAAGTTCACTCATATTCAGAGATAAACTAACAAAGTGATCAAGAAATTTTGTTTTCCTAGAATGACTAACTCTGTTGAGATCTGTAAACAGTTAAGGCCTGGTTCAAACGTCGCACTTTTCATGTGCCGAACCTAACTCTGTTTGGAGCGACACTTGAGCATGTTTAGCGCGACTCCCGTTTCAAACGTCAAACTTAATCATGTCGCGCCAAATGGGTTTTAGGATTGTTACATGAAGTATCTTTGTTAAGGCGCGCAATCTCACATATTTGTTTGAAACGCATACGCCCTCCAAGAAAGAAATGAATTCTGGGAAGGAAAATAAATTAAATATAATTATGCATTGGGTTCGGTACATGACAAGTTCGACGCTTGAAACCGTGCCGTGCTGGAGCCTTGCAGCTCGGCAAGCTCTGCCGATCCAAACTAGTCTGTCGCTCCTAACTAAATCTGCCGTACCAAATTGATTCAAACGTCGCGCCCCTCATGTACTTAATTCTCGAGTTAGGTTCGGCACATGAGAAGCGCGACGTTTGAACCAAGCCTAAGCTCTTTTAAGCTCATTGAACTTCATCAATGTCAAGTTGAAGGTAAAACAAATTTTCAAACGGAAATTTCTTGAGTGTGCAATTTACTGAGAATGATTGCAAACTGCATGTTAAGTGTAGTGTTGCAATATACAGTGATGTTTCTTAGCTTTTGTTAATTTGGGTAGGGTTGTTTCTGAACTTTCGAAAAATTGAGCCTACCGTTCCTTATAACCTGTTTCTTATAAAAAATGAGTGTAAATGCTTTTTGGTTTTGTTGCTGTTGTAGCTCTTTCTGTTGAATCGATGCTTTCTGCACATGAACTGAATCACCAATGCCAACTGAATTAATCATTTTCTGCATATTGCCAAAGGCATAGGCTGCCAGAATCTTTTGGTAGACATGTAGTTAAAGCGATCTTTCCCTGTATAAAAAGATGGTTACTTTACGCTCAGTGGCGTAGCTAGCGGTCATGCTTGTCATGCCGGGCATGACCATCTATTTTCAGAGTTAACATTTTTCAAAAAATTATATTTTCGTAAGAATAAAGTCCTATATTCCTGATGAAATAGCTCAGGCCATTCGCATTTGGAGCCCTATGGTTCCACCCAAGAATATGGAGCCCTCCGAAGGCGCTCTTCTATTGTCGGGCATGACTAAAACAGAGGGTTTCCAATTTAGTCATGCCCATAACTATGAGCATGACCAAACCCTGTGTTTTAGTCATGCCCATAACGCTGGTTCCCTATGTTTGGTCATGCCTAACAATAGGAGTGACGCAGGAGAGAACAAAGGCTAGTCATGCCATTTCGAGAAGGCATGACCATCATTATAATCATCAGAACCGTCCTGTGTTATTTCGTGAACGCGAATGCGAGGCATCGATGGCGGCGCTGCTATGCCTAGATCCACGAGCTGGGAGTTAATTCTCTGTAAGTAAAATGCAAACAAAAGCTTATTGCCAAGCAGCCACGACTCATGTTAATCTCCAGAACATTTTATGGCAACGACAGGGTTTTTCAGCCTTAATGGTGTTGCACTATGTGGAGAAGTGACAGGCACGAAAGACCATTTTGGACATAAAATCAGCGAGCAGGATCATTTTATGCAACCAAACCAAACTCTCAGCCTTTTCAGTAATCAATTGTTACTAGTTGAACATTTGCAGAGAATCTTCTTGATTTAGTGAATGCCAAATCTTGATGCTGTTCACTGGAGATGGATAGAGGAGATAACAGTGTTATTTTCCAAACCAACAGATTTGAGAGCTTAAACTTTCCAGACATTTAGCAGCATATTCAGAAACTGTTAAGCCCTTTAAAAGCATTGTTACCATATTATGATTAGGACAATAAGATTGTAGTTAATGGATAGGGAATGCCAGAACTTGCTTAAAGTTATTCTTCAATTTTTTGTTTATTATCACATGCAATAACACTGTTTTTACACACAATTAAAGTCAAACTCAAAGCTCTACTGACTTCACTTTTAGTTGAAAGTACTTTTTACTACTTATAGCTGTTGAAATAAAATGACCAGAGACAAGTCAAGCGTGTTACTGATCTTGTTAGTTAAACAGTTTTATTTCACTATTACAACTTTTGATGTATTTGAAAATTTACAAGATCAAATTATTCATTTACAACCCTTGTTTGCTAGATTTAGTAAGGACAATCCAATCATGTGGATATTTACCACAAGTATATGTGGAAACATCAATGTTTTTGTTAAGCTAAACTTATTTTGCAAGGTATTTTTCTATTAAGTCTAACTTTGCAGAAAACATTTTGCAACTAGGCCTATCCATTATTTTAGCTTCCTATATTTCATATCAATATTTACATTGGATATTCATTTGCCAATTTGTTTTATTCATCTATCAATTCTATTGGGGTTGTTAGTTAATCGTGATGGCTTTAAAATACCTTCAACAGATTGATAATAAGACTATTTGTGGAAAAGATGACCAAAAAGCTCCCATTCAGTTTCATGTGATTTATTGTTTCATATACAAATTTTAGCTTATCTCTAAAATTTACAAATGTATTTCAGCCTGCAAATTGAAAGAGATTAGGAGAACAAAACAATTTTTAATTTAAGCTAAGTTTATCTACTATACTAAACTAATGTTTTTTTAATGTCTTTTGTATAGTTCTGTTTGGAAATTGTCAGAACTCTGTCTGTATAAATTACCAACAATCCAAAACAGTGTCACAGCTATAAGATAAAGGTCATTTCATAGTGTAACAAGATGATTGCTATGAAATAAGGAAAGCTCATTCCAAAAGTTAATCACAATTTTTTTATAAGTCACAAGCCTTAAAATTAAAATTTCCAAAAGGAATTCATCAACTAAAAAATTGGGCGTGGTAAAATTTGGCGACACCCATATTTTTTCAAATTTGAGGGGAGGGCATGACCACTGCTATTTGGCTAGCTACGCCACTGTTTACGCTTCTAAACTTGGAGACAGTTACCTTAGATTGCTGTCAGATTTTGCCATTGAGTCCTTTCCGGCTTCAGTTGGGGGCTCTAAAACTTTAAAACCTTCTTTAGCAATATCTATTGAGGGCTGTACTAGTTCCGACCATTTCAATTTGCCAAACTTTTTCCAAGCACTTACGAATCCTTTTACTTCACCTGGAACGGCAACAGCGAGGCCACCTGCAACGAAAACGAGGCTGAGGCTAGTAATATTAAAAGAGTGTTATTGAATACTCAGCGGTGAACTCTGGTTCATCGATAAAAAAGTTTCAACACTTGCGAGATTGGAAGAACAATTACATAGAAACGTAAGATAAACTGATGTTAAACAACTGAATCAAAAATCTTAGCTGAATATAAGTTAATATCTGCACAGTATAACTCGTGACCCAAAGAAAATATTGGAAATTTGTGTTTGTTGCTACAAAGCCTCGAAAAGTAGTTTTTAGGATAAAAAGAAACTGCGCTTATTGAGCAGTTTCCTGGTGATTCTTCTCGATGTGATTATTTCTAGTGATTCATATGCCTGGAATTACAGATAGCTTGCGACGCTCCTTACTCTAAGTGAAGGTTTGGTCATGACAGTGACTCCAACTGCAGACACTTAAAACTTTAGTCCACGACTCTAATTACGAAGCCATCCTTAAACCCGGTTCAAGTAAGCGAATTTTGAAGTTATCGGTGGCTCGTATATATTTGAGAAGGTTTAAGGGAGATGCAAAAAATGCTCGAGTGAATGAAACTTCAAGCAATCAGAGCTTCCAGTTATCGGATAAAACTGTTATTGTTCTACTATGATAAGAAATGTTGTTTAAAATCTCTTCCTGGTCTGTAAAAGCACCTCTTTGATGTGTCTATCAAATAAGTAATATACTTTCTACTTACCGTATTCTTTTTTCTTCTTCCTGTTTTCAAAGACTTTTTTGTTCAGGTTTGCTGGAACTGTCTCTCTATAGTCAAACCCGTACGTCTTTTTTTCTTTCCTGCTGTAAACAAGCATAAATCCCCCACCACCAATACCGGAATACGGAAACTGAACTGTGCCTAGGCATAACAATGTAGCTATCGCTCCATCAACTGCAGATCCACCACGCTTTAGTATGTTCTTTCCAACCGTTGAGCACTGTCCTATATCGCTTGAAACAGCAGCTTTGTCGAATTCTTCAACCTTCAAATGCTCAGGTTTGATGCCATCTGTTAAGTTTATAGCATTTATCTCTACTTTTGACCGCTTTACATCCTCGTCAACAATTGTCAGGACCAAACTTGTAGCATATAGCATGCATAGAACGACGAAGAACTGAAAAATTGAATCATTGGTTCTACAGTATACAACTTTAGTTCGAAAGTATAAAACATATAAATTTTCAAACACAGCTAAGGAATGGAAGAGGCCATAGCTTCAGCTAGAGTGTTATCTAGATAAGTAAACAGCTTAATTGGCATCATCTTCCAGTACGGTGTTTTGGATTTTTAAAGCAGCTGATTCAGAGCATTCAAATAGCTTTGATGATATGATCAAGTAAAGTTCTGCTTTTTGAGATAGGTTGAAAGCTAAGTGATTCCCCTAAACTCTTTACTTGCTCCTTTGCTCTAATTTATTAAAATCATTTACCTTATTACAGGTTTGTCAACTTTCTATATATCTAAGTAAGGTAATGATTATAGTAAAAGATACAAAACTTGAATTTAGAAGCCTAATCAGACAGTCCTAAAAAAATTAAAACATTATGATGTTTCTTGCTAACCGTGAACACAGTAGGTACCAAGCTTTTAAAACCTGCTTGTTTTGCAAATATTAATTAAAGTAGCTTTACATCGTCTTGAGACACCATGCTACATGTCTAATAGTTTAGTTTGATACATTCTAGTACTGATAAATTCATGATACATAAACATTACTACAAAGCTAACAGTGCATCAGGTGTGCTATTATCTGCCAATATCAAGTTTACTCTCACGACGGCAATAGTACTCTTTATAGGCAAGATATCCTATATTTTTAAAATATCAATCGATTGGCATACCTGTGTAAATTGGCAAGTCATTGTAATATCCTCCCCATATAACACATTAACGTGACATTTCTTTATTTATGAATTTTGGATCAAATGCTTATAAACCATTTTATTTTTTTGTAAATAATTGGAATGATTAATGGTGTTTTATTGTTTATCTGGCATCAGAGATAAACTGTTCGTGGAGAGGTTAATGGTGCTCTCTCATCCGCTAAACACCTGTAAACACTTTCTTATTCTCTCACGTACGAAAAACCCAGCTTCGATTCGAGACTATACTGTAACTATCTGAGTGGCAATGCAGTCACTTCAGTAACTTCGCAATAAATGCGTATATGAAGATGCTCAGAATCATGAAGGCAACATAACCAAATACCAAGCCAATAATAATTTCGCTTAATTCTGTTAGTTTAGCAGCAAATTGTTTTTTAAAGGCAATACACAATAAAATCATTTGATTGTAAATTTTCCAGTGATCATGGGCAATCTTCAAATCTACGAATGTAGACGACAGGTGCTTCCATTAACATTTTTTATTTTAAAATCCAAATTTTATATTGCTATGAAATAATTTACCCCTTTTTACCTTCTTCAATCTATGGACCTAGAAACGGTTTGGTTACCAGAGAATCAACTTCCCTAATCTTTCAAAATCTGTTTGATGAGCTGAGTTTAGAACTCCAACTTCAACTAAATTCATGGGCAAACATTAATTTCTCTCAAATTATTCAACTCCCCTCTTTTGCCTCAAATAAAAGTACCCAATGTTCGCATAAAAATAAAAAAATTTGCCGTATTCCACTGTAGATTTGCAGGCGTCTCGGTGAATTTTTTCGCCGTAAAACTTGTCATAGGGGTGATAGTTTACATCCTTACTATAAGTTATAGTATGGTATTACAGCCAAGTACCAAAGACTTACTATAAGGTTTACATCCTTATAGTAAGGTACCAAAAGTCCTCAAAAGTACCAAATCATCACCACAGTTCCAAAGAAAGTTAATTTCCTATTTTTTCCAAGTACGGGACCCGTTGGCTTTTTTCTGAACATATTCTTTAAACATTCTCAAAATTTGTATCTACAAAGAATGGTTTTGAAGACTCGGCTAATTTTGAATGTGAGTCGATCCAATTTGTCCTGGCACCTCCTTAAAAAATTTCTATTTTAGGATTAGGAATGTAACATTTGAAAATTTCGAAATACTTTGATTTGGTAATTTTAAAATACGAAATAATGGCTTGATACCATCAAGAAATATGAAATAACAATCTTACAACGACGACAGTTAAGTAAAATTCCAATCTAAATTTATAGTAAATAAGAAACACCGTAACACGACGAAAATAAACAACAACAAACACACAAATCAGCGATGGCTAATATTTCGCCCCGGTATACGGAGCTTCATCAGAGCAAAAGACTTTGTTCCTTATTTACTACTATTTTATCGATGTTTCGCCGTCAGATTACCTCCGGAGTCCATCGAGCAGCCTGCTATCGTGGCCTATTCTTTATATTCCGCAGCTGCCATGCCAACAAGAAAGTAAAGAAATTTCCTGCTTTTTTCCTCCTTGCGAGTCTAAAACACGTTGCTGTGATTGGTTGATCGTTGACTTCCGACAACCACCAATCATCAACCATCATCATCAATCAAGTGGAGGCGGAAGTCCAGATTCCTATTCTAGGTATAAATAAGTAGACACTTCGCGATGTCATCAGTCTGGTGGAAAAGTGGTGGCACAACAGTTTGGAAGTGAAGACGCTGTGAGCCTGTTACACGATGAAGGTCGTGTTGCTGTTTTGTGTCCTTTTTGGACTTGTCATTTCAATCAATGGTAAGTGCAAGCATGAAATTAGTTTCATTAAGTAACTTGTTAAGATATTGTTTTTGTTAAGTAAGTGGTGTAGGCTCGTCTGAAATTTCCGTGTTGGTAAACGAACTCAAAAGCGTGTGATGTCATGGACGGTATAGCATACGCCCTTGTACATTTAGAAAACATGTGCTTTAATGAAGTCAGGTATATTCTATCGTTTTGCGATACTTAGCTTCGCAAAAAGTGACCTTATTTTAAACGTTTGTTAAAACACGTGTTGTCGCGCCACGCCCCTGCCAAACTATGTTCGTTTCGTACTTTCTGTCTAACTCAAGCAAAAGTCGTCACCCATAGTACTCGTTTATAGATATAGTAAAACTATGATATTAGGACAAATACTATACATTTGAGGTATAATGTAAGCAACTTTCCATGAGCCCGCCCACACAGCTGCATCAATCGGCTGGGGTGGGTTAACTCGTGGAAATAGCGAGGGTTTCGCTAGTGACGTAAGGTTCTTGAATTTTCTAGGTGCAGCTGTTGAGGAAAACTCCGAGGTGTCGGACAAGGGTGTCCCGGAAGATGTGAGTGTAGAGGAGGACTTTGTTAGCGATGAAGAGGAAGATCCAGATAATGAAGAGCCCTCTGAGGATGAGAACAGTGATGCTGCAGAACCAGAAGAGGACAGTGACGCTGCTGAACCTGAAGAGGACAATGCAATAGCTGAAGGTACCAATTGTTTATTTATCCGCGTTCGTCCATAGGCGGTACCGTCAGAAAGTACCTATATAGGTAAATAATTTACACGATTTTAGGTTGGGTTGTTCTGTGAAAAAGTTCAATGTCAACATTGTACAGAACCTTTTATACGACATGTATCGATACTCAACGCAAATCTGACCCCAAAAAAACATCCTGGCGTTTATTTATTTCAACAAATTTTACGTCTTTCGTCCGCTAAATGTTTGTAAATGATCTCTTTTAGATAACTCTGAGAAAGATGAATCTGCATCAGATCCTGGATATTACCGCAGAAGATCCTTGCGCAGACGTAGTTTCCGCAGACGATCCTGGCGTAGACGATCCTGGCGCAGACGATCCTGGCGCAGACGTAGTTTCCGCAGAAGATCCTGGCGCAGAAGATCCTGGCGCAGACGTACCTCACGCAGACGTACCTTACGCAGAAGATACGGAAAATAAGCTAAAAACTAATGAAAATACTTTTTGAGTTGGCTCATTTTGTATTGCTTTTTTATATTTGCATATTTTTGAACCTGTTGACATAGATCAACTGAGAGAGATATTGTGTTGTTTGTTCTCCACGTTTCTGAAAGAGACCGCCATTCAGCTGTCTCCAGGCAACACAAGAAAAACTCCAACTCTACGGGGGTTTTTAGAAACATGTGATTTTTCATGTCATCGCCCCAGCTATTACGGTCGTTTTGTTTATCTATACTGCTGCGAGGTTAGCTTTTCATGTGAGCAGTTTTGCATCGCAAGAATACTAACCAATCGCAAACCGTTATTTTGATGGGTGGCTTGACAAGTTGGGTATACGCAGTTCTTTTATATGGACACTATACCTTTAAGGTGGCTTAATCAGAAACTTAGTGCTTTAATTAAGCGCTTGTCTGGTATTTAGGAGTGAATGAGTAGCTTTACTCTCAGAAAAGCTTAAAATGTTAAATTGAAGGGTCTAAGGACAGAGCCTTGTGGTACACTTTTGTGAGTTGAAATTTTTTGCTAGATTCAATTTGTTTAATTTGCATATGATGTTATTATACAATGCTACTAAAAACACGCTTTAACCAAGTAAGCGGAAACGATAGCATATGGTTTTTGGATAAACATTGTCGCATTAAGTTCAAGGTGTGTTTGCTCCGAATAACTTGCCAGGTTTTTGGTAAAACTTGAAAAGTGAATACTGCAAATTGATTAATAATTTTCAGGGACATATGAAGATATAATATGAACCTAAGTCTAGATGAAAGAAGTGCTTTAACAATTGGGAACACTGGTATTTTATTAAGGTTTTTAAATGAGATACCAGCACCCAGCTATGCATTTCACCACCAGCATTCACTGAGTCGAGACAGTGTGTTGACATTGAGCTATGCTGCGAGCTAGTTTTGGTAGAATCAAGCCCAGTGATCATAAAGTATGTTGTCAAGATCAACAAAAAAGATCGAGTTGGCTTGTTTTTTAATTCAGAATCACCCGGAGGAAGAAAGTCAAACTTTCAGTTAAGTATGGATGTTCCGGGCTTCGAATTTTCTAGTTTGAGTGAAAAGAACTAAGCCGGTGATTGGTGAGCTGTGAAATAGCTCGTGAAGTTGCTGTGCCAGATATACATCATCAATAATTATATTTTCGCAGGCAATTGCGAGACACAGACGTGTCAAACTGTAATATCATACAGGCTATTTACAATGGTATGCATTTTTGTGTTTTTAGCAGATTGTTTTTCCTAAAATTTACTAACAGCCTACATGCTACCTGTTGTAATCTTTAATCGTAATTCATTTTTTGCTAAGCTAGAGAACGACCAATTAATGCATGTTTAGAAGATCTTGAAGGCACATGAAATACACGCCCTTTTTATAAGAACCAGTAAACTTAAGTTTTTTTAATTTTTTCGAAAATCTGAGGCTGGATTGTTCTTAATTTCTTCTTAATCTAATAGAGTGTAAGTAGTGCGAGTGCTAGTTTTTTCGCTCTAGGGTGGTGTACAGGCCTCATTTGCCAACAAAGTGAGTGAGACAGCCTTAATTTGCTGACAAATTTGAATATTCACCGAAAAAGCACCTACATCGCTAAAAATCCCCAATTTTGAGAAAAAACGTTGTTCAAAATTGCTCTTATTTTTAATTTGTTCTTAACTTTTGACCAATTTTGAGGCTCGTGTTATTACACAATTGTTCATATAAAAAAGATGTATGGTGTTAAGTGAATTATTGAGCATTTCATTTTTGATTGATCAATGCCCGATCAATGACCAATTTCTTAATGCTCGAAAACTATGCAAAGAAATCCAGTGAGAAGACAAGCAGAACAATTTCTTATCAGGATAATCTCAAACGATCTTTTGAAGGAACATAAAGCTGAGAAGATATAATTAAACAGAAATCAGGCACTGATTTTGCTGGTTCAAATAACTGGACTAGAGGGGCAAAAAGCAAAACGTAAACAGCAAAATGAAGGTGGTTGAAAACCTAGTATTTTTTTGACATTGGAATCTTATCACTTGGTCACTCAAAGCGTACGAAAAGTTAATTAATGAAATGAAAATTATCACTATTGATAATTACGCAAGCTATTATTTTAAAAAAACTCCAGTTTGCTGAAAACAATCTGCTTCAAGGATCTGGACAATTTCCTTTCTTTGAAATGTACGTATTATTCATTTCTTCACATCAAGTTTCAACTTTTAACATATTAATTTTAAGATTTTTATCGTAGATCCTGGGAAATTTTCATATCGTAGTTGTACTGCTACTAGGCTTTTCGTGCAAAGTCTTTGGAGACGAGCAGCCACTGTTGGCAAATCTAACGACAAAGAATATCAACGAGAAGTTGCTTCGTTATGAGAAGTATGATCGTGCAGCGGTGTCAACAGACAATGAAATATGCTCCACCGTGGCCAAGGACATTTTGATGAAGAATGGCTCCGCAGTGGACTCGGCCATAGCTGCGTTATTCTGCCTTGGAGTGATTCAATTCCACTCCACTGGAATCGGTGGTGGAGGCTTCATGCTAGTTTACAAAAGAAAGGATAAACAATTCACTGCTTACAATTTTCGAGAAACAGTGCCTATGAACACTGATTTGAAAGAGTTTGAAAACGATAGGAAGAAAACAAAGATAGGTCTGATATGAAGCTTTTTTTTATTCTTGTTTCTAGTTTTGAAACTTTTATAAGGATAAAGTAAAATTTAACCTCTTTTTTAGAAACGTAAACGATTGACAACATCTCAATCCAAAATGTCTGTGAAAACATCTTTTTTCATCACCAAAAGTATTTCACCAATGCATTTTGTTAAAATCATTCCAAATTTTTGTTTATTGCTTTTCATAACTTCAAAGGTGGACTTGCTGTAGCCGTTCCTAGTGAGGTGAAAGGCATGAGGATGGCGTGGAAAAAGTTTGGGAAATTGGAATGGGCAGACCTTGTACAGCCCTCGATTGATATTGCTGAAAAAGGCTTTCCTGCTACGCGTCATATGGTTTTCCATGCTAATAGGAAATCACACAAAATAACTGACGAGGCTTTGAGGTAAAGTATTATAACATCCATTTAAACTAAATGCTTTTAGGATGTGATTTTATCTAATGGTGAAATGGACCAACCCTTTGCCCTGTATCTGGACTGGCCCCTTTTCATCAGACCTCCGGATTGGAACACAAATAAACTGAAGCAGTTTCAAGATGAGACCATTATAAACTATTACAAGGGCATGACTGTATTATAAAGTATCACAGAAATCGTCTTATCCAAATGAGATCTCAAATACCTGAAAAAGTTAAAGACATTTCAATAACAGATAAGTTCTCTTTATAAAACTGTTGCAATATAACATCCATCTATCAAAGACTTCCTATATTTTGAAAACGTATTCTTTAGCTCATTTTGCGGAAAATGGCAAGCTATTTTTAATGTAACGCATCTGCTCTTTTTATTCCTAGGAACCCTGGAAAGGTCTTCTGTGCATAGCTCATTGTTGTCTCGTAGCGTTGCAATAATTTACATGAATTATATGTTGAACTTTCTACTCCTGTCATCATAATTTTTGTTGATTCTTAACAAAAGCTTGAGATGGTCGAGCATCCCCATGCTGGACTCGCTCTTTCGCTCTCTCGCTAATAATTTTCGTCTTGTTTTTCGTAGGAGCCTCATCACCGAGAAAGACGGTTCGATAGTCAAAGTTGGAGCAACAATTAAGCGACCAGCATATGCAAACACGCTTAGAATCATTAAAGACAACCCAGATGCCATGTACGAAGGTGAACTGGCAAAGGACATCAGTGATGACGTAAAGTCTGCGGGCGGAGTTATGACCACAGATGATTTGAAAAATTATGCTGTTAAACTTGAGGATGTTATGAAGCTGAAGCTAGACAACCTAACTCTGCATACGTTGCCTTTGCCCTCTGGTGGGCCTATCTTGATACATATGTTGATGGTTTGCAGAGGTCAGTGAATTTTGTACTCTGGGTATAAACTCACTCTAAAAACCTTGTGCTGTTTGGTATTTATGTCTTTAATAACAATAGGCACAAGTTACCAATGAACAATCAATTCTCGCAAAGAGTGTCCCAGAGAGCCAACACTATGTCTAGAGGGGTGCTTGTGCATTCTTAGGATAGATATGCTCAGGCTTCTTTCTTTGGTATAAATTTCCAGGAAAAGTTACTTTTTTGGTCAGTACAATTACTGGTTTGAGTATATGGAATTCTAAATTTTTTTGGCTCTCAAATGTGGGAAAAGTTTAATAAAGAGAAAATTGCAAAATTTATTGTGCAGGGTGAGAAAGTTTATTTTTCTGGGTCAATTTTAATGCTAGAAATTACATTTGGTCAATGGTTTGAGCCCTGGCCTAAACATCCCTATTCTAAATATATATGAGTACCTCCCTGGGAATCTATTTGGAATAAACTCATTAAACTCTTGCATTTAAAACACGTCTTGCTCCTTTTAGAGTTCAATTTCACGAAGAGCGATATGGCAACAATTGAGAAAGCGACTCTGACGTATCACCGCATTGCGGAGGCTTTCAAGTTCAGTCATGCGTATCGCTCGCATTTCAGTGATCCTGATTTTGCGGTACACAAGGAAGAGTTTGATAAGGTATATAAATGTAGCTTAATAATCAAAAGATTGTTAATTAGCCAACAGTAATTATCCAAAAAGCTTAGGGTAGATTTATGACCAGCATTGCAGGTAGATTTTATGGTTATTGACTACCCAGGGTACCAGAGCCATATAAACTAACGCGACGAAGTAGAAAATACGGGTGGACCACTATTCCTTCTACTCAGCATAGACGCTCCTCCGCTTCTCCGCTTCACCGCGTCACCGCGTCACCGCTTCACCGCTTCACCGCTTCACCGCTTCTCTGCTTGGTTTTCTATTTACGCGCTCGAATGTCGTATCACTAGTGTGTTTTATTGGTCTGTTTTATCACTAGTTTTGTCACTGGTTTAATATGTCACTGGGTTTGTCCAAGAAATGATTGTACGTCTGTTAAAACAGAAGAAAAGAACTCACATTTTCCTTTTTAGACCATTTGCTACCTGTATACTTTTAGGGAAAGTAAAAGACATTTTAAGCTTTTTCAGCCAATTAATTCTTAATCTACGTTGCAATTTTCCACTTTTGATGTTCCCTCGTCATGGTGTTAATGAGGGTTATCACCCAACTTGAAGCTGGCTGCAGAGTACTACTGCTATCATCAATCAAGCAATTATTCTTATTTTTTTCACAGCTTTGTAAAGCAGTTATTGACCCAGATGTTGCAAGGTACCAGAAAGAGAAGATAAACGACACAACAACACACGATAGACAGTTTTATGGAACTTTGCTTAGAGGTAAAGAAGACCATGGTACTACCCATGTATCCATTCTTGCTGAAAATGGGGATGCCGTGGCTGCATCTAGCTCAATTAATGATAAGTATGCTGATCTTTCATAATATGCTTAGGCCTTCTCAACTTGAAATATGCTCCTCGGTCCTTGCATGAATTTACAATTTTGTTTCTTCGCCTGTTAGAGGAATCTTTTTCTCAATTTTACATGGACTCTTGCAGGCACATACCGATACAGTTCTGAGAGAGATAGACTTATGAATGTAATAGACATAATCTTTTTTTATTAAACTTTTCTAGGTTTGGTGCGCTATTTTCTTCAAAGAAGACCGGCATTGTATACAACAATGAGATTGGTGATGCACACACGCTCTCTTCACCTTGGCGAAAGTTCACGTGGTCGGAAGAAAATGCCCCGAGGCCGGGCTCAAGACCCCTCTCTGCAATGGTACCTACAATATTGACAGATGAGAATGGTGACGTCAGAATGGTAATCGGTGGTTCTGGTGGAAGTAAAATTACACTAAGTGTAGCATGGGTATGCGAATTGTGTCAATTTTTTTCCTAGCAGGGAGTAAGAATATGGCAATGGGATCCCTTGAAACTTGAATGAATTTCAAAAGAGGTTCTGAGTTGCTTGAAGTTCTTTCAAGTCTGGCATCAGTCTGGCACCAGTCTGGCACCAGTCTGGCACCAGTCTGGCACCAGTCTGGCACCAGTCTGGCACCAGTCTGGCACTTTTCTTACTGCAAAACATCGAAAAAAAGAGGTCAATCATTAGAATATGACAATATGAGCCTTTCAATTGAAAGAATTCGCTTAGATTCATCAATAAACAGATCAATCCTGGTTAAGCCTTTACCTTTTTTCCAGCTTCTTTACTGGCATGCATTACAGGTATACAATACCGGCACATAATACTGTCAGATCATATAGACTATGGTCAGATATTGTAGGCATACAACCTGGCGATATTGAAGATTATAAAACAGTATATATGCAATAAAGTCTGTTGTCTGAATCCTTCGTTCGAAAATTCTTTCTATCTAGGTTATCATGATGAAGCTTTGGTTTGGAATGGATCTCGGGAACGCAGTGCTGATGAGTAGGCCTTACCACACATTCTTCCCTGAACAGCTCAAACTAGAAAGGGCCTTTCCTATCAAGGACAAAATAATAGAAGGGCTCAAGAAGCGGAACCACAAAGTAAAAGAAAGTAAACAATGTGGCTGCGGGGTGATACAAATCATATACAAGGACTGTGGCTCATGTCAAATTTTTGCAAAAGCTGATCCAAGAAAATATGGGGGAACAGACGGATATTAGATTTTATTTGATGAATAACATGATTTGGCAAAAAAATATGCAATCAAAAACCAATACTTCTACTAATCAGTTTTTTTAAACAGTATTTTTGGGTTAATGTTTTTTACGTCAACTATAATCACTTTATTTGACCAAGAAACCAATAGCAAATCAAGTTATAAGTTGGTGTTTGTAAGTTGGTATAATGATCTAGAACTTCACTCAAAAACCATGCAATCAAAAATAATATGATTTTTCTATTTATTTTTACTACAGCAAATTATGTAGCAGTCTTGACTATTTTTGCAGGGACGGGCGAGCTAGGTATTTTCTTTTCTTCGTATTCTAAGTGCTTTTGACTCTAACTGATGGGCAATTTTTTATGTTAAGCATCTCCAAGGATGTTAATAAGTGAGATGTAAACAAGTAACATTGTCTTGTATTATTTTGTATTAATAGCATTTTTTAATTTTTAGCTGTATATTTTTGTTCTTCCTTTCGTTCTCTCTGCTGGCTTATGATCTATTTGTAGAAAAGAAACTAACTAATCAATTGACTGCCAAATAGGCAGTACCGTCAAATTTTATAGTCTAAAATTCAGTGAATCAGACACAAAGCAATTTGCGTGATTCTACTACAATAAGATATATATAGTCAGTATATGTACTTCTTTAATCCTCATCTAAAATTAATCATCTACTCTAAATTTTTTTGTGAAATGAAAAAAACCAAAAACCAAAGCCTAGCTTTTTAACCAAAAATTTATGAAATGGTAATAAACGAATTGATGTTCAAAAAGAATGCAAGCAGTTAAAGCAAAACGATTGGTTCATTTTTAGACCAAAAATTGCAAAACATGGTTTTCAATATTTTTTTCTTGTTGTCAAAAATTTTTTATTCTGAAATTCTTAAAAAACGGTAAATTTACCAAGCCTATAGATTAATTATTAGACAAATAAATAAAGCCATCCATAGCATTCTTATTGCTTTGTTTTTTACAAAAAATGATCAAAAAAGTGCTTTAAAAAATTTGCTTCAATTTCTATTTCGTCAAAAAATTTTTAGTGTAGATATTTTAGCAAAAACATCTTTTCAACCGAAATGCATAAGAAAATAGTTCAATAAATATGTGTCAACTTTTTTATTCTTCAAAGAAATTTTTAGCATAAAGTTTTTTGAAGAAAAAGCGGCAATTTTGTCAAGCATATAGGCTTAATGAAAATACCAAATTGTTGGATGGTTTTTTTGCGATCAAAATGAATAAGAGAGTAGATTAAAAGATGTGTTTTAATTTTCTTATCTCTCAAAGAAATTTTTAGCATAAAGGTATTTCAGCAAAAAACGGAAATTTTGTCAAGCCTATAGGCTTAATTCTAGGACGAAAATTTAACAAATGAAAAAGTTGAGATATCAGTTGGTTTCTCTAGTCAAAATGAATAAGAAACTAGATTAAAAGATGTCTTTTAATATTATATTTTTCAAATAAATTTTTGGCATAAATATATTTTAGCAAAAAACGGTAAATTTTATCAAGCCTTTTGGCTTAGTATTAGAACAAAAATTTAGCAAATGAAAAAAATAAATCATCAATTGGTTTGTTGCGATCAAAATGGATAAAAGAATAGCATATGGCGGGATTTTCAGTTTTCTTAATTCTCAAAGAAATTTTTAACTTTTTTTAAAGAAAATCCTGAAATATCAGTTGGTATTTTTACAATCAAAAAAGATAAGAGTGTCGCATAAAACAGGTGTTTAATTTCTTCATTTTTCAAAGAATTTTTTGCCTCAATTCAATTCAAACTATTATGCCAAATATTTAGCAAAAATTTAGAAGTGAAATACCAATGATCAGTTTCACTTCTACATCTAATATGTTTTAAAAGGTTAATATTGAAATATTTTTTCTTCTGAATGAATAAATGAAATATATTTTCTACCTTGATTCAATTTTTCATAACTGAACTAATTTGATGAACCTATTGTCTTGCCGTTTTATTAAAAATTGAGCAAATAACAACCAAAAGAATAGCGAGAAATTTTCTTTGCGAAATGTTTCACAAAGTATGTAAAATGATTTTTTCAAAGCAAAAATTTATATTTTCTCAGCATGAATTCTTTTAACAAGAAATAACAATTTTGTAAGTCTATAGCTTTATTAGTTGGCCAAAAAATGAAGAATTCAAAAACTGATTAACCGGTGTCTTCAATTCTAAAATGATTGATAAGAAAGTTTTATTCATTTACTGATATTAATATCAGTAAATTTCCTTCCCTGAATGGTAAGAGCACGAAATTTGCAAGTCTCAAGACTTTTCCTTCGACAAAAAATAAGTTATTAAAAACCAAAAAATTAAAAACCATAAAAATAAGTCAGCTTAGTTTTTTGGTTTTATTTCTTCTATCTTCATACAGTAGTTTATGAAAGATGGTTCTTTTCTTCAGGCAAAAGCTGAATTTTCTTCCCTGTACAGGCATCTTGATAAAAGACAAAATATAACAGATGATGTTTCAAAAAACATACGTGACATGATTCTTTTAATTAATTTAGCTGCATTTAGGTCGATGCAAAACTAAATTTATCTAGTTAAAACGAAAGAAGTGTAGATATAAACTATTTATACCTATAACTAACGTAGGCCAGTAAATTAGCGTAGGCTAGTAGAGTTGTGATGTGACTAAGGTGCTGCTAGTTCTAAGCATATTTGATACAAGATAAAGCTCCATTAGATACCTGATATCTGATGTCTAAAAAACCAATAAAAAGTAATCAGTTTCGATAGGGTAATACAATGAAAAGATTAATACTAAATACACTAGATAAATACTGAAAGTCACAGAATCTCTCTAGGGCTGCAGATCGGTGTTGGAGTTGGCACCCCATCCTTTTGTGGTAATGTGAACATTTCCATAGTTAATTGGCAATAATAGTGTGCTGGCTTACAAATGATTGTTATGCATTTTTCTTTTATGTTGCATTAGAATTTCTGCCATAAAACTAGCAAAAATGTTACATGTGTCTTTGTGTCAAATTATTAAATCAGTGTTTCAAATATACTTGTCTTTAAGTGCTTTTAAATACAGAAAAAGACGTCATCAGGGATGCATTTGCCTTTAAACGGAACTAGTAACCAGCTGATTTTCCATACTTCCTTGGGTCAGATTTTGCGTACACCAAACCATCTTTACTCTTATAGATTGCTTGCACAACGGCAAAAAGGGAACTAGTCAAAACTACATGGCCTTTCTTCCTAAGGCCGTCAATAATAGCAGGGTCCATTGGGTTTTTCTTCTCGTTTCTGATGTATTCCGGGAACAATGCATGTTGTGGGCGGCCATCCACAACAGCCGCCCCGAGTTCCATCCCGAACCAAAGCGTCTTCATGATAACCTGTATTTTGAAGGCTATAAGTTTACAATTTAAGAAATTTTATGAAATATCAGAATTATATACTTGATCGCATGTCGTACAAGATCAGGTAACAATATAAATATGAATTTGAAATAAAATTGCACGTATAAAGAGGGAAAGATAGTCCAGGAAACTTGATACAGGGCTATGCTCGGAATATCGTTAACATAATATCTCTTTCCCGGAACGACATTACTTGATACTCAAAGTTATATTTTTAGGAATATAATTGGGAGACTATAAAAGTTTCTGTATGGCACTTTTTTTAGAAAAAATTCAAGACAGTGTATTTTGCTCCTTTCGACACATTTTGCTCTCTTCGAGAATTGCTTGCTTATGATTGAATTTTCAATCTTAGTGCTTGTCACTGTTAAAGTATTCAGAGATTTATATTTGAATACAAAAAGAAAATAAATTCCTTGATTGTTTGTTGCCAAAACTCCCAATAACTCAATGTTATAATTAACGACAGAAATAACTGATTCTTAGTATATGAGGGTAAAATGTGTTTACTAACAGTGGCATGTTGGTTGCGTTTCTTTTACTTGAGGCTTATTACGCCACTCTCAAGCTAGACACACCCCCTGACCTAATTGTTATTCTGCTTACCCCTTCGAGGGAAAAAACTGAATCATCCAATTATTGCTTGTTACTTCGAATACCAACTTACCCATGCAGTAGACAAAGTTATCCTGGTACCGCCCGAAGCCCCAACTACCATTACTACATCACCATTTTCGTCAACAATTATAGATGGGCAGGTAGATGATAGCGGCCTTTTGCCCGGTCCAGGGGCGTTAGCCTTTGGCCACGAGTAACCGGAGTAAGACGCATTTGTAAAGAAATCAGCCAACTCATTGTTGAATATTATACCACTTGTCAAAGAACGAAACTTAGCTCCAAAACTGTGAAAAACGGAATTCAATGAAAATCAAAACTTAACACCGAGTTCATAATTTGCAAAAAGGAACCTGCCAGTGACGATTTTCATTTATGATAAAGCAGTTTCATCTAAGTTTAAAAAAAATCTTATTATGAATACCTTGATTCAATTAGCAAACTACCTACATATTAGAGAGGTTTGTAATGTAGTGTAATTGCTGCTAGAGTAGCAACTGAAATTTATCATTTTTATTCTAACTACTTTTATAATCATTTATAATACGTAAGTAGTATGCTACAATTTATGTTAAACTATTTTCACAAAATAAAACTATTACAATCGCAGTAATATCAATGCTCAAGCAAAAACAATTGAGATATTACTTCAAGTTACAATGCCTGCCAAAAGTCTTGGAACACTAACATCAATTTCCAAGGTCAAAACCAATCATCCCCCTCTCCCCCACGGAACAATGCTGGTTTACTATCAAACGGGTTAGGATTTTAGGAAGCACTTTCTTTTGCGCTTCTTTTATGATATTTCTCTAAATCATCAACATTGTTTGAGGGGAAAGGGGGCGGAAGTAGCAATTTTTTTTCATGAAAGGAATGAAAGATATCAAATGCAGCGTAAATTGGTGGGTGTTCCAAGTGCTTTTGGCAGGCATTGTAGTTAAAATTTTTTGAGAAAGCACAATATGTGACATTTGTTGCAAATGGAAATTTGGTGTGTGCTAGATGAGACAGCGTCTCTGTTGAAGGTCTATAGAGAGGAATGTCGTTATAAGAGCTGCATAAGCTGAAGAAAAAGGCAATTGTAGTTAATGATCTTCCTTTGAACAAACTATGATGTTGATGTTACCGTGTGCGCATGCTCCATCGTAAAGGTTATGAACAAAATGCTTATAACGGCGCAGGCGGTGAGAAAAGTTTCACGCGTGCCAGATAATTTCAAACCAGCTAGATTTTCAGAGTTTTGTCTCGTGAGTCAAAAGTCTCACTAAAATTTCACCGCAATGGGTGAGATTTTTCGAAGAAAAGTGGTACGAATTGCAGATTGCCCAGCAAAGATCTTACCGTGTGCACCCAGCATAATGACTTATAGTTTCGGGGGGGGAGGGGGGGTGTGGTAACTAAGCTAAAATGTTGACCCATAAAATGTAGACCCATAAATCTGCACATGTCTGAAAAATTCGGCAAACATGATGAAAACTATACCTATAATTCCTCAAAGAAAGTAACAATTTTTTAAAGCACAAAAAATCATCAAACAAATTTTACATGTCCTTTGCTCCAAAATCTCAATATTACACATATTTAATATGAACAGTTTTTTGGCGGTACATAACTTGAAAACGGCTTTGAAAAAAGTTTGTTTTTTCAAAGCCATTTACATATTTAATACTTTCATTCCTGACTTGACTCCATTTTGTTAATGCTAAATCTCCCTTTTAATAATTTTGCAATATTTTCCCAGAGTGGTACCCATAATTCGGCATGTTTCTTCAAATGGTACCCATAGTTCCGCACAAATTTCAAAAACTGATACCCCGCACTTTTCAGAAAAAGTTACCCCTACATAAGTACAAGTTCCCGTACCTTCAAACAATTTAAGGTCCCAGCCCCCCCCCTCCCACGAGCTTACAGTTGAAGCTATTTAATGATTTCCAATAATATGCTATTAAACATTTCATTTTCCGGAAATTTTGGTCCTTTGCTGATGAACCTCATTATTTCAGTTTTATACGCAGTCTTTTTCACTTTCGGTAATTTGAGCAATCCATCATGGGCAAAGAGCCAGTACACACATGACTGGTATAGGATTATATGAAGTAAAGGCCAATGAGAGAAAAAAATTCTACCCAAAAATACTGTGTCCTAGGTGACATCTGTGCTCTAGGTAATTTTAGACGATTGTTGGGTGTTTAAAAATGTGGAACACTCACGCAAAATTGATAGTGTCGGTTGCTGCAGCCGCATCGCCATTCTCCGCCAAAACGGATACATGCGTTGTACCGTAGCCTTCTGCCTTTGCGAAGAAATCGGCATAATATGAAGTGTTATGTGTTTTGGAGTCATCAATTCGCTGCCTATCAAGTTCTGCTTGAGCTTTGCTTATCACTTTGTTGTAATTCTTCAAATAGATGAGATAGAAAAATATTTGACTTCTTTCATCCAAAATATTTGTGCATTTTAAATCGCAAATATGGCAAGGGCAACTTATTTTCTGAAAAGTTTGATAAACGGTGAAGATCATTTCAGTAATTCCAACCAAAATACTTCTCAAATTTCCATCTAGACCTGCATCCGGGCATTATTTCTGAATAGTGCAAAAAGTAAGTCCAAGAAATTTTCAGCGAAACTCTCTAATAGGTGCATGCAAAACTTGTAATACAAGAGCGATGACTCACCATCATGAACTCAGTGGCATTCGTCTGGTGATCAGGATCTCCTAAGTAAGGCCTGTAAGCGTAGCTGAATTTGAATGATTCGACAATGCGGTGGTATGTTAGGATACTGCGCTCTATTGTCGACGTGTCTGCACTTGTAAAATTGTACCCTAAAAATTACAGCAACAAGTTAAAACAGCAAAAAATCATTCATTCACTGCATTTTGCACTGAAAATAGTTCCCCCTAAAAAATTGCTTTGTTTCAGAAGTCTTTTAAAAATACCTTTCCCGAGTAGAACAACCTCTAATACAGCCTCGAATTAAGAGTACGATTCATTGAAATAATTTATTTCCCAAAGACATTAAGATTCATTAAGATTGATTTTATTTGTTTCAAACGAAGTAATCATGAACATTCTGTTTTACTAAGGAAACAAAAAACTCGAAAACTCGTCTTGTCGAAAGTTTTCAAGACCTGGGCTCTTATGACTTTTAAGGTGACGTCAATGAAGAATCCACAATTCTTTACCTGAATTCATGTTCAGAATGTGCGTGAGTACTGGTCCACCATTTGGCGCAGGTAGTGTATAATGTGTAAGTTTTCCCAGTTTGTTTACTAGAGGTTGCTTCTCAAGGACCTTGTATCCTATTAGATCTTCCATTGACATAATACCCCCTGCATTTCTGACGTCAGTTATGAACTGTTTTCCTACATCTCCACTGTACATATCATCGGGCATAAGACTTAATTTTTCAAGAGTATTAGCCAGCTTTACGCGTTTTAGAATCGACCCTTCAGCGAGTAGAGTTGTGCCGTCAGCTTGGAAGAGGAGTTCTCTAAAAATTATCATTTGTCATCAGGATGAGTGATTTCGTTCATAATAGATAAACATGAATATAATATAACATAGTAAATAAAACATGACATGACATGACATGACATGACATGACATGACATGACATGACATGACATGACATGACATGACATGACATGACATGACATGACATGACATGACATGAGATGACATGACTTTCAAACCTAGATTGACCCTTATGACTTTCAAACCTAGATTGAATTATATATGTACTTTGATTCTGATAAAAATTAAGGAAAGCAAAGATGAATACCTTAAGCCAGGATCTTTTTGAATGGTAGTTCTGTATTTCTTCATATTTTCGTAAAGGGCCTTTCCGATAGGAAATCCCTTTCTACAGAGATCAATTGTTGGTTGGAATAACTTTCTCCATGGCAATTGCCCATACTTGTTAAATGCTGCTCGCAATCCACGGATTTCCCCAGGAACACCAACCGCATTTCCTCCTAGAATTGCATAAAGGAAAATTGTTGAAGATCTTCTAAAAACAGGCCCAAAATTCTTTAACGACATGCATGCAAACTTCAAAAAGGGATACTTTGTCTCTAATCTTTTGGCCGAGAGGCGGAAAGGTCTTAAAGTAAATAATGTATTGTCTATGAACTATTTATTGTATAAATATTTCGTTATTTATACACAGTTGAAATTGAATTTTACTAAAATTTCTAGCTTATTTACTTTATACCATCAAATCAACGGCAAAATGATGTTTATGTTGAGCAGCGTGGTGCTGTTTCGAACGTTTCGAACGTTTTTAATATTATCATGCTCTTTATAAGCTATATTTTGCTTTTTCAATGCAAAATATCTTTATTTTAAATTTATCACTGCACAAGTTTGGTATTACTGCACGTTAAAATAGACACTGCAATGTTTGCTTTGCTACAGAATACCAGCGCCAAAGGAAACAACTCCATAAACAGTGTCAGTGAATCGTAATCAATGATCTATTCTACGAAACATTTTGTCACGATTTTGTCACGACATGACAATTGTGGTTATACGATTTTGTACCATTTTCATTTTTCTCTGTTTTTCTTCAACCATACTTAAGAAAGCCCTCCCCGTACCACCAAACAAAAATGTCTTTAAAACGATGGTCTTTCCTTCAAGGGGTTTCCTGTCCTATGCAGTTCTTTGGTTTGGCCTCGGTTGTCCTTTCTTCTTATGGCAGCGTTTTCGAAAACATTTAATTTCTATCCTTTATTCTTCAACCATACCCAATTAGAATAAAGTTAGCAGATCGTCACTGAGACCCTGTAAAGCATTTAGTTACAGCAAAGTGCCGTGTGCTAGGAGACCAGTTTTTATGTGACTAGTCAAGATACTTTCCAAAAAAAACAATCAACATTTTCGTTATAGGTAGAAGAAGTAAAAGCGGTAGTATCAAGAACTACGGGGCATATTACGGATTTGGAGGGGTGGCTAAAACGTTATGGGAGGCTAAGCATACAAAAGACAAATTTTATTTTAGTCGTTTTAAGTACGATTGATAGAATTATTCAGGGGCTAAAAACCCTTCTGGTAGTAAAACCCCTTTGTAATTTTAGGAGAAAACTGCAAAATATACAACGAAAAAGACGATTTGGGGGCTCCAAGGAATATTTGCAGTAGCTGTAGATATATTGCATGGCAATGCAAGATGAAAAGGAAATGGCCTATCTAACTACAGCTAAGCATTGGTTCAGAGAGGAAGGAAAACGAGATCTAGCAAGTGTATTTCGTAGATGAAAACTCGAAGTACCAGAGGTAAAATTGAGAAAAGGAAGCAGTGGATATGATGAGTAATTAGCGATTATGGCCAATCATAGACGACGTTGGATGGTTGAAACATCATTGTTTAGTACAGCCAATCGCAAACGGACAGGCTTCCATTTGAAAGTAGACTCTATTGGTTTTCTCAGCTTGAGCTTTACCTTCTGTCTTTCTGAGTTTAAGCAGGTAAAATTTTATTTGCCTTTTAACAAACAGCGAAGCAACTACCAAAAACTGGATTGCTTTTATCCTGCATGACAATGTTGAAATTAAGAAGTTTGCCAATGACTATATTTGTCATTGAATACTTAGAAATGGAATACTTGCTCCAGTGTAAACCAACTCACCTACTTTACCCAAATTTGGATCGGCATTGAAAATGTCAACTGTCATGGTGGCGGGTCCCGTCTCCCTATAGTCGAATGTTTCAGCCTTCTTCTCTTTCCTATTATAAACGACCATGAAACCACCACCGCCAATTCCAGTAGAATGAAGATTGACAGCACCGACACATATCAACGAGGCAATCAAAGAATCGACTGCAGAGCCGTGTTGCTTTAGAATGTCCTTGCCGATATTTGAGCAGAGCTCATGATCCGTTGCTACCGCCGCCTTGGCAAACACTTTAGCGGCGTTTGGCGGTCGTGATGGCGTTGGCTTTGCAGTGGACTGGGGCTTTGGAGACGGGTTTACAACTTTACCTTTTTCTGCGCTGTCGTTGTTAGCTTTTGTTCCATAGTGGACTGAGACACCGACAATGACTGCAACGGCGATCAGGACTGCCAGAAACGCAGCGTAAAGCTTCATCCGTCCCTTCTCCATGATTGTTGGGCTTAGAGAAATAATTTAATAACGCGTCAGTGATGCTGCATGTGGCTTGATCTAAAGTGAATTATTCAATAAGTGGATATATGAAAGTTTACTTGAAAAAGCACAGCAACGGAGAATTTGTCTCCAATGAAATTCGAACAACAGCACAAGCCCTACGTTAGCCACTGTTCTTTCTGCATATTCTTTTAACAAACTTAAGATAACAGTGGAAAAATTTTGTAGATCACACATGAAAACAGTGTTTCAGAGCATAAAGGATTAATTGGTAATTTTGATTAGAAACTTCATATATTTCGGTACTGTGAAACAACCAGAGTCGCGCACCTGCCACACATATATTGTTATCGTTCGATTATAAAGAGAGACTGGCTTGCAAGGCCGATCAATTCTTATTTATATTTCATCCAACGCCGGTTTTATTTCAAGTTCATTCTGATAAATTTATTTTGCATGTAGATAATGCAAACTGTAACGTCTAGCAGAGACCAGAAAATAATACGGTTCCATGGATTTGAGCCAGAGGAAGGCTATCAAAGGGTGTAATAGCTTTGCTCAAGGCCAATGCACAACTTGACAAGAGTCGCAATATTTTTGTCCTGGTATTGTGTATTAAGTGAAAGGGATTTACCGTTGTGTTTGAACTTATCTTTTTTCCTGACAAAATGTAAAGACCAAACCATAGTTAATTTTTTTAAGAACAATTTTTAAGAAGCTTTTATTGAAAAAATCCCAAGGAAAATCGTAAGGAAGGCAAAGAGGGAACCATTTCATCCAGAAGCAGGCTGGGGGGTTTTCTAAACTCTGACATACGGGAACGTATAAAGAGAAACAAGGCATGCATTGTCCATATTGTATAACATCGACATATTGTATATATCATCTTTAATCTCATGAAATCCTTATTTTTTATCAAGCAATAAAGAAAGTGCAAAATTCATCCTCAAGATTGCGCTTTTTGTCAAATTTTGCAATTCGCAAATTGTCAGCCAGTCAAAAATCAAAACAACTTCTCAATATTTGAAAAGCTTTATTCTCCGTTTTGTGACGTCAGAAGGACTTAGAACGCTATTATCATATTTGTTTGGCAAGGAAAGCTCGTAGGTAGCGGAATAATCGACCAAAAACAGGTTCACAAAAATGCCTATGGAGACGAGCTTAGTATTGCAGCGTAACTACAAAGCGAAACGGTGCAGTTTTGAAAAGTCGACGCGCAATAAAAAGCTTTGAGATTTGCATTGCTTTTAGCTGGGGTCACACATAGTGTAATGTAACCTTGCACGTGTGAAACTGGTCTTAGAAAGTATCAAAATAAAAATAAATAAACCTTCAAATCATGCATAGTTATTTTTTTCAAACCCGAAACAAATTGCAATGTCAACCATAGTCTCTATGATCTTGGCAAGCAGACAACAGCATCAACGATTTGCCAAAATACTTCAATGGATCTGCTTGAGGTCGAATGAGCGATACGATAATCCTTCGCAGAGCTAATCGGGCTGTGGCTAAGATGAATAACAATAACATTCTCATTCTGAGAAGGTGTTTGGAATGTTCAGTAGGAGTGAAAGCCACTTTTGATTTTAAGAATTCAAAAAACCGTACCAAGACACGTTTTTGGTAACATATACTGGCACATTTCATATTTTTATGAATAAATTCCATCATGTAGATGTATTTTCTCAGCGTAAACTTCTTAGCACATACCAATATCTTTCTGGCACTTCCACACCAAACAGTCGATCTCATTCAGTCTACGACTATGACGGATCTGCTCTGAAAACGAAACGTTTAATCTTCTTTGTACGAAGCAGCTTCTGGAGTACTTTATTAAACGGGGTTTCAAACCAGAAACAGACACGTGTATGAAATTAGTTATGTCATGTGTACATAGTTGGTTAATCTATCACAATGACAGTCAAATTTAGCTTTTTGTGGCTAGCCCATTACATTCTACAACTGACTTTTTTCTTCACAATTTCTCCCACATTTTATGCTCTGAATCGTGTCAGGCGAGGAAGCTTTACGTGTAAAAACTGTTTTCTAACTTGCAGGAAAATTAATAAAATAGTAAATCGCATACAAATGCTTCAAACTGAGTCCATTCTCCGAAAAGAAACCATGAAAATCCTTGACTTTTTTGGGATCACATTTAAGCCCAAACTCCAAACTCGATAGACATAAGCATAAGGCTTTGCAGCCGCTTTTAACCCAATCAAAACGATCTTTTTTACGCTTTTACTGCTCGCTTGCTGAAATGCACTCTTTGAAGTTTATGAATAGAACGGCCTTCAATTATTTTGATCTCTTCTTTTTATTTTGAGCCATAATTCTGTAATCATTCTTCAGCAACATACACTCTCTTTTTTATAAGAACCAGTAAATTTAAGTTCAGGCTGACTGTTCTTAATTTTTTCGAAATCTGAGGCTGGATTGTTCTTAATTTGTTCTTAAATCAAGAGGGTGTAAGCAGTGCTATTGCTAGCTTTTTCGCTCTAAGGAGGTGTTCAGTCCTCATTTGCCAACAAAGTGAGTGAGACAGCCTTAATTTGCTGACAAATTTGAATATTCACCGAAAAATCACCCACACATCGCTAAAAATCCTCGATTTTGAGAAAAAATGTTGTTTAAAATTGCATTTTGTAGAAGCTCAGCCTCAGCTGGTTTTTGATTTGTTCTAAACTTTTGACCAGTTTTGAGGCTCGTGTTCTTATAAAAAAAAGAGTGTAACGTGTACATTTGAAAAAAATCGAAGAAAAAAAGTTCAAATTGTTGTTATTATGTTGTTTTATCATGAGAAAATATTTTTCTCAGAGCCAATTTTCTGAGCACGGGTGGAAGGCCCCAATCTTTGCAGGCCTGCACCACCGGACAGCGTTGGCAGCTGTGGCAGAGGTCCCCTAGCTCTGGTGAAATTTAACAATTTTTTTCATTTGTTTTGCCCTTTTTCTTGGCGTTTTGGCCTTTTATCCTCTTTGAGCGCAGGCTTTCCTGCATTTGGTTGGTGGACACTAGAGGAGGAGGGGGACGGTCGCCCCCTTAATAATTTTAAAGTAAACGGAAACATTTTTCTGCCAAAAGAATTTTAAAAGATATTCTCATAAAATGCAACTTTTAAGCGGAATTTCTAATCACAACATCGAAGCTTTCAATTTTCATTTGAGAAATACGATCTCGTAAGAAATGGAACAAAAATTACTTTGAAAAGCTTTTGACTTGCCAGAAACAAGGGTTCATTTCTCAGGCATCATCACTTGAATGTGGTCTTCCAGTAGTAGAGTTTCTTGGCTTTCGCTATTTCGAAAATTTTTACGAAGAGTTGTTTAGAAGGACACGTTTAAATCGTCTAATGCAAAGAATCGATGGAGCATTCTCAATGGGCGTTGGCAATGATTTCCGAGCGTGTTATGGCGTGGTAGCGTAGATTGACTCGGGCCTTAGGCCCCAGACTTCAGCACCGCTATCCCCCAATTAATATTGTCTGTCATTGCTTTTCAGCTTTCAGCCATCGAACAAAGCATGTCTGAAAATACTTGGGAGATCGGATTTCAATAGAAATGAAGGGCAATGCCTTTTGTCTTGCTAAATTATTTCAATTTAAGAAAGCTTTTTGTACCTAAGCTGAAAACAAAGTGAAAAAACAAAATAAACAAGTTCTGATCGGGATTATTTATTTTGTTGATTTTAGTACCAATTGCTGGAGCTACTTTCCAGAAACACAAGCACGTAGCATGAGGTAACATGAGATAGTTATAAGGAGCTCTTATTTTGTATTTATCTATATAAAATAAACCGTAAACTGGTGCGTTATCGTTGAAATAAATAATTTCCATCCCATCTTTAAAAGAAGGATTTTCGGGTAGTTTCTATAGATTCAGAGTAATAACTACTGTCGTTTCTAATTTCTTTGGTTTCTTCTAGTGAACATGGTCCAAACATAGAAATTTGAGAGAACAGCTTGTGGTTTATTGATTCATAAATAAACATCTTTTTGCTTGATGACAGCAGCTGCCTGATGGTAGCAATTGGTGTGGAACTCGTAGTAGTTGCAAGGACCGAGATACCGGCGGACCGGGGTGGGGCCTTGGTTTTACACCCTCAAAAATTTAAAAGCTCATGAGATGAGTCCCTAAATGGAGTACATAGCCATTTCTGTTTTCACCGAAAAAGTTGTTCTCACTATGTGTTTTATTCGTTTTGGCCCCCATGTTCAAACATGCGTCCGGCGGCCCTGCAAAGCGTATACTTCTTTGTAGAAAGAAGGACCCTTATTCTTCCATTTCTATTTCTCTGTTCTGTTCGCCATTCGCCGTCATTGTCGAATGCAGCCTGGAAAAGATATGAAACTTAACTCACCGTTCCTTTTCTCGATATGACAATAACTCTAAATTGCTGCCAGACTGTAGTGCTGTCCTGTTGAGAGCGCTGCCTTCTCGTTCAGCCTCCAGCTTTTTCACGTTCAGCTTTACCCAGTGATGTAGCAATGGTCTTTCTTTCTACTTCCTCTTTCCTTCGAAGTCATTAATCCCCCGACGGAAGCACGAAGCACCCTTCACCTTGCGACTGACGTCTGAAATATGCTAAGGAGGCTCTTTTCGCATTGTGTGAATATCGGCGGATCCGTTTTACGGTTAATTCAAAAGCAAATTTAAGAATAGATAAGAGAGAACAATGCTTATCCAAGGAAGCACTGGGTTACCAACTGTTTCGCCAATCATGAAATAGAGTTATACAAACAAGTAGGGTGGATTTAGAGTCACCAACAATCCAAGAAAATAAACATGGATGATATTTTGGAACGAGTGCTGACATGCAAGAGCACGAGTATTCGAATCAAACTTCATCTATATTTCAGCAACAATAACTTTACACTTTATAATATCATTTATAAGAAATAGGATTTTACAATCAATGCTAATACAACACTTTTCATTATATCTCATTAAAGGGTTCTACACCAGACTTTCATGCAGTGTACAATTGGCGAATTATCTCTCGAATAGCAAATTGAAACTTCAGGAAACTTTTCATTTTGAATTCAAGTTAAAGCTAAAATTACAAATCATTCGTGCTATTTCATAGGTAATTTGTAACTGGCTAGCCTGTTTTTACAGAATAAAACTATTACAATAGTAGTGACAAAAGAAAAGATAAAGAAAAAAAACCAAAACTCATAAATATCAAAAAGGTAGTAGCTTTGGGTTAGTTCAAGTTTGTCCTACAGCAGGATGTATAAAGAAAACTTTTCATTTCAATTCAATACAATTACCAAACCACACTACAATAATAGTAATAAAACAACTACCAACTAAAACAAATCAAGTGAAAGCTATTAATAAAGATTAATGCAATACAGTTAAAATTGAAGATCTATAATTGTACAATGACATTAAATTAAACTATATATAAAACCCTTATATTTACATCATCTGCAATTGCTGTGCAAGCATTTTCTTAATTTCACATTCTTTTCAAAGGCTTGTAATGGTTTTTGAATTTGTTATATCATTTGGCAATTTGTCCCATATTTTCTGTCCCATAGAGCTGTTTGTATCAGTTCCATACACGGTTGCCCTCACTGTTGATAACTGTAAATTTCCCTTGCCTTGTAGTTTTTTCTTGAAGGATCTCGTTCATGAATGATGGACAAAGATCATTATTAGCTTCAAGAATTTAATGTATGGCAACAAAACTGTCTTTTTTTCAATAATTCAACAAAACTTCAGCTTCTCTTCACATAAGCAATTCTTAAAACCTAGCCTCCTTCTTGTGACTATGTAAAAAATGGCATCCCATTCCAAGTAAATATTCGAATATTCATGAGAGTTGCCTACATTTATTTCTAAAGGGAATAACAATTTACTTCATTACTTTATCGCTCATTTTTTACTCTTTAATTTCAATCTTATTATTATTATGATTGACGATCAAAATAATGTGTTTAGTCTGTATAATTTAAGGCCAAGAGCAAATATACCGTCTTTTCTGCAGTGCTTTTGTAACTTTGATTCAATTTAAATTTGCAAAGTGTGAGTTTTGAAAATATGTTTAAGTTTTGGATGATTTGAAACTGATCATTTTCACCTTATACTTTTGACTACTTCAAAACTATATTAAATACTTCGTAAACATTGTCTCATCATTCTCTTAATATTCTAGAAAGGGCACGTACGTAAATAAAAGGAGAAAATTGTCTTTCAGTCAAATTAATCGAGCAACTTTGAATTCCCACAATTCAAAAACTATGATTGATGTATAGAATGTACGTTGGTTCTTTGCTTTTAGGTCTGAATTTGGAAAAGATATTTTTTAAGCAAGCTTTGCACAATAAAAACGAAGGGACAAGTGCAAGTTTGTTCTTGTATGACGTCATACTTATTTAAGAAGCGTTGAGAGTGAAAAACCTAAAAATACGTAATTTTTGAGCCATCTGAATTTCGTTTTTACTAGGCCATCATAACTTTGAGACAGCACAGGCCAAAAAAGGCATAATTGTCAAACTATTCTTCACTAAGGAATTTAACTTTAAATTGCTTTGAAAAAAGCAAACACTTTGAGACATACAGTAGGACTCAAAAGTGTTTATTTTTTTCAAAGCCATTTTGAACTTAGCTATGCTGTAAGAACAGACACCTCTTGTTTTTGCATTTAAGTCCTAGAGACAGTTAATACATAATAAGTTGTAAATATGCCTAGCAAACGAGGCATGTCCGGCTGGTAATGTTTATGGCAAATTCAATTTATATATAAACATTTGGTTTATTTTCATGAGCTGAAACATTGTTAATGGACAGAGAATTATTTGACACTGTGGATCACAAAATTCTGCTCTCTAAAGGAACCCCTCATCAATGGTTTACATCATACCTAACTGATAGATACAATACTGCCAATCAATGGTTCCAGTTCACAACAAAAAAGGTTCGGTGTGGTATTCCCCAGGGTTCGTGCTTTGGGCCCCTCCTTTTCATCCTATACGTAAATGATTTTGAGCGATGCTTAGGAAAAGCTCAACAAATATGTATGCAGACGACACTAGCAAAACATGCTCTGCAAAAGACATTGGGGAACTGTGCAATAACCTAAAAACTGAGGTTAAGAGCATTGCAGAATGGATGCGGTAAAATAGGCTTAGTCTGAAGACCAATAGAACTGAATATATGGTCATTGATCATAAAAGACGAATTAACCACATCCAGGGGGAGATAAACGTGAAAATAAATGGAGAAAAAATCCGACGAACCCATGAAGTAAAAACCATGTTTCAGCCCACAGTCGAAATTGGACCAGGTTTGCAGGGCACTTTTCGAGAGCCATCTAAGATAAGGTGAAGAATTATGCGGAAGTCTGTCCGCTACAAAACTTGAACATCTTCAGCGTCTTCAAGACAGGGCTCAAACATTAATTGAAAGTGCTAAATTTGAGGACGGGTGGATTTGTAAATGGCTTTCAGTTTCAAACCTAATTAAATATGACAGGGCCATAATGACGTACAAAATGATGAATGGTCTTTGCCCTGACAACCTTAGAGGTAAATTTATCACTAGGTCAGAGATATCCAGTTATGGAATCAGCTTGATATTGACATCCCAAGGCAAAATTTGAAATCCTCAAAAGGAAGTTTCTTTCACTCTGGGGCTAAAACATGGAATGAGATTCCAAGAAACAACAGAATGAGCCCCACAATTTCCATGTTTAAAAGAAACTTGAAGGGATTCCTACAAAGTTGATAAATTCCCAAAACCAAACACGATCCCTAGGTAGAACAGCAACATCTTTACTTTATATATATTAAGGAATGAATTTGTAGTAGAAGTCGTTTATTTATATTATAGCTGATAGGAAATTCATGTATAAAAATTTTTAAATGAAAAATGAATGAATTATTGCTCTACAATGCAACACCTCTGTACCTCATTTAAAACTACAGATTTTAACTTGCATGAAATTGCAAGGGGACATTCATAGGTGCATGGGATTACATGGGCAGCGCCAGAGGGGGGCTGAGGGCGTGTTTTTATAAAAGGCACAAACGTGTTTTTATAAAAGCAAAAGATAAAAGAAAATAGAAAGAAGAAAAGAAACGGTTCAAAATATGACTACAAGAAATGTTCAGAAATGTATTTTAAGCTAATCTAAAGGGCGTGGTTGCAAAAATGTTTCTGCTAACTTCACTCGCAGTGAAGCCTTTTCTTGCAAATGTTCCTATGGCCCCCGACAGCCTCTCGTCGGCCCTTCCAATGTACCGCATAACGAGCGCCCCATAAAATCATAGGCATGAATTATCGTGAAGCATTTTAGTGCTATCAAAAGCTGGTTTTTTAGTCTAATAATGCTGTCAACTCGGGCCCTCACTTTGAATTATCATAACTGCACATGAATACACGTTTGTCCGGTAAAAAAAATGATTCACGATTAAAAAAAATGCTTAAGCAAAGTAGAAAATACTAATTGAAAATAACCAAAAACAAGTCAACGAATAGAATTAATGTTTTTCTTTCAATTGAGAGACTTGCGTGTTGACAAAATATGTTATTCGGTGGAGAAAATGAAAAAAGTTGGCTTTTTCATCCGTATCGGTGTGTTTGAATGGAGAAAATAACTATTCCTGGCAAGATCAATTTTGATTCCAAGCCCAGAAAACATGGCTGCCAAACGGGAAAAGACCGCGAAAAAGGCCAATCCAACCAAAAGAAATCAAAGCACAAAACCCCGACGATTAGTGTGTTGCGAGCGAAGGTTGGCGGGGCCGCAGATAACTGGTAACAGGCTAAATTAAACGTTATATGCCATGCCACGAAAACATCAAAGAGATAAGAATACACTCTTTTTTTATAAAAACCAGTAAATTTAAGTTCAGGCTGACTGCTCTTAATCTGAGGCTGGATTGTTCTTAATTTGTTCTTAATCCTATAGGGTGTCAGCAGTGCGAGTGCTAGCTTTTTCGCTCTAGGGTGGTGTACAGGCCTCGTTTGCCAACAAAGTGAGTGAGACAGCCTTAATTTGCTGACAAATTTGAATATTCACTGAAAAAGCATCCAAATATGGCTAAAAATCCTCGTTTTTCAGGTAAAACGTTGTTCAAAATTGCATTTTACAGAGCTCAGCCTCGGCTTGTTCTTAATTTGTTCTTAACTTTTGACCAATTTTGAGTTCTTATAAAATTGTTCTTATAAAAAGAGAGTGTAAGCAAATTACTCATCTGAGATAAAGACGAATCACCGAATGCAGATTTGTTGAAAAAAGTTGCAGGGAAAATAGCTTTCAAGTGAAATAGATTTAATACAAAAGCTGTTCCAAGATACAAAAATGTTTGTACATCTTTATTACAATATACTTGTGCAGTAACCTCTGATAAGCTGCATATGTATGTGTGTTGTATTTGGCTACACCTATTACAAAACAAAGCTAGTCAAACGAGGGCCATAGAGAACCTGCTCTGTGCTGACAATGATTGTATTTACCGCTCGATTCAACATTTATTAGTTCTTGATCATATCTGCAAATAGCAAAATGTTCAAATATGAAGTAATACAAAGTCTTGGCGATTCTGTACACTAAAGGTTACGACGATCAATTATAAAAGTATAAGATATAGGTAATAAAAGCATGAATATATGACAATATATCTTTCAAGGGCTGGCAGTAGTGTTACGTAAGGAGAATGGCATGGCATGCTACCCCTTGCTAAGTAACTGGTTGACTCAAATTCATAGTTAATGAGAGGGATTTTTAAAGAGCTTCGACTAAATAATTCTGTTTCTAAGCCAGATATTGAGTTTAGTGAGTTTAGGCTGGCGTCCCCATTTTACGCAAATAGAAATATTGGAGCAAATCCCCGCCTGCCGCAAAAATAAAGCTTAAGTTTGACTATGACTATAAAGTGGTATTGCAGTACGAGCGTGAACATACCCTGAAAGTAGGGCGATTCATGCAGGGTGAATTGAGGCAAAAACTGGGTCAACTAACATAGCTTAGAATGAGATGCATATCCATATCGGTAAAATAGACTAATATGAAGCTGACTACAGTTTATGTGAGGCTGACTACGGTCAGGCTAGGCTTAAATTGTTTATTGGCGTTTCTTAGAATTATTGGTTTTATAATGAGGGAGCACTTTAATTGGAAGCAAATATTCCAGACCCTTTACACTAACAAACATAAATTATCATAGAAACACTAAGAAAAGCAGAAGCTGTTTCGATTACTAGAAAAAAATATCGAAGAAACTTAAGGAAATATTTAGAAAAATGCATTTCTTATAAAAATGTAAGTGCTAACAAATATAGAGAATGTGGGGGAAAATTTGATTGGATTTTCGGATAGGCGGATGCCTTGCAAAATAGTGAATATATCTTGGTTACAAGTTCACTCTTAATAAACAGAAAGATCTAGCTCTTTTATAAACTAAGCCAAATATTAAGGTTGCTTACGTCAGTATCCAGCGGGTACCCCCTTCTTCCGTGGATCTGACATTGCATATATAGTAGATGCATCTTCCCTATAAATTGCCTGCACAACTGACTTCGAGCCCTTTTCTTCCACCTTATGCCCAAGTTTTTTGAGGCCATCAACAATGCCCTTTGCAAGTTTGTACTTCTCATTCGAATTCAGAAAGATGTTATTAGGCACCAACTGATGATGGAGTCTTGGGTCCGCTACGGCGGGACCAAGTTTTACGCCGAACAGCAGCTTGCTCATAATGACCTGAAATCAATTGTAAATTCACGTTTTTTATAATTGGTTAATAAATTACATAGTAGACATAATGATAATTGACAAATTTTGATGAGCAAATAAAGCAATATGTTCATTTTCAATGCTGAGAAGGGAGAGAAGGGAGTTAAAAAGTAGTCGAAATAAGTTTATTGTTTTGTTGCCTACATGAGTTGGAAAGTCTAGTGATTACGAGACTGGACCTATTATGTCTTTGGTTGACTTTTCCTACAGTGGAAGCTATGGCTTTTCAATGGATCGAAGAAAAATCATCCTTGATTTGCGGAACTTATTACAGAGGCCTAACATGTCGGGGCTCGCCTAGAAGTCTGGGTGAGCCTTGAAAATTCTGGTATCTTCTCAACAAACATTTCATGAACTACATTATGATAATTTTGGGTAACAACGGTTCACTGACTAACTAGTACCCATTGTGTATATACTATGCACATCAGTATATTTTAAAGGTACTGAGATTAAACCCTCTGCTATTACAACATATCATGATATTCATGCCTCGTTTTCAATATCCTTCCTTCAACACCTGCGTAGTTAAGCAGAGAAGGCAACGCTTATGCCATCTGGGAACATGCTTGAGGCACAGTTGTAAAGTGCATACAGGATAAAGATAATGTGCTCTAATGGGACACCGGAATTAACAGTTTCTAGGCCTGACTTAGGGCTATCAATTTGCAACTAGTTACGCTGTATAATGGGATGTCTTGCGGGACGCTATGTGGTTGTGGTAAATTTTAAGCTCTTGTTCCTTGGCCTAAGCCAATGGCTTTTGTCATTTCGTATCGAAACACAGCACAGAAGCGAAATCATAGTAGTCCTCCATTCTATGCTAATAATATTTATCAAATTTAAAGAATTACTGAGGCAGTGAAAAACTTTCCTCCATTAGTTCTTGTGCAATTAAAGTCACAACGCACTGTGTTTTTGGTTAGCTAATAAACCTCAAAATAGCCCGTTTCATGGGTGTCCTAGCTTTTTGCTAGCATTGATAATGAAACTATTATGTTAATCAAAAAAAAGTTTTCCAGCTGATACAATGTAACCTTACTGGTTGCTCAGCTCGTCTACAAATATGATTTCATTGCTCAAGAATTGATGAGGAATTGATCCCAGAAGATCATAATTGATCTCTTTATCAATAATTTCAGCAACAAGACGATTGACTGATTAAGAACAGCTTGGAGAAATGAGAGATATCGTTCGATTTCGTTTGCAGGCGGACTTACTGGTGAATCCTTTAAAAGATAGCAGAATTATCTTTTCAAAAATGACGCAATTGACAAAAGAGCCGTACAAAATCGAAAGTGAGCCATAGCATACATATAGCTGTAAAAAATTGACTGCTTTAAGAATACACCATGCATCTCTCAAGTCAGCATATGTCACGTATCGTCCCTGTTTAGCTGCAAGGTGCCCCCGATGCAAATTCAAGAAAAGCGATATATCTGCAAATTATAAACATTTTTAATAGATTTCGTAAATAATTTTTCATAATCTAGCGAAAATAGGCCCTAGAAAATCGAATTAACTGTCTCTTTGGCCCCCATTGCCCATCCCCAAACACAAAGTACCCATAGTTGACAAAAGAATGGAAATGCATTTTTGGGAAAGTGATTTCATTGCCCAAAAATATTTGTAGAGGTACAAAAAAGTAAATTTGGGCCTTTTTTACCAAATTTATCACAAAAAGAGAAAAGTCGGTATTCTACTGCTGTATTAAACATACGTAATGCTTCATGAGGTTAAACATGACGACTTGGGAGAAAAATATGAAATTGTTCAAAGATCGTGGTTGCTCTGAGTGTGCTGATAGACCTGGTGGGCTTGGGGTACTGTGAGATGGAGTTTAAGGGGGGCAAATCCAGGGGACACTTGCCTAAGAAAATGACGGGGGTGTGCAGAAAACTTTTTTGCACCCTATTCTACAAGAAATGGCCAAAATAATACCCTGGCCAAAAATAGCATGAGATCTGGCAATTCGTAATTCATAAAACTCTGTACTATAATTTTTTATCGGAAAAGGCCACCCTGTCCCGCGGCACATCCCGTCAGGTGGAGCAAGGGACTGCCCACCACCTCCTGGACTATAGATTCAATTTTTGTGGTTCCAGTCACTGACACGATGGAACATTCTCTTAGACCGAGGGGAGTCACAAGCTTACTGTAATCACAGACAAAAAAATGTGGTCACATCAAGAGGGAAGACCAAGATACAGCTTGATAAGTACAGCTTCTCAGTGTTCTAAAAACTACCTTCGGATGCTAGGTAGAATCAATTTTGTTTATCAGTGTCAGGAAGTAAATAAAAGAGCACTTATCTAGGCTAGGTTTATTTCACGTTCATCTGATATACCTTAGTAATGTGACAAATTTAGGCATTTCTGTTTTGCCCATCAAGTTGGTACAATGAGAGCTTAAAATATAAATAATCAAAAACAACATCTAGCTTGTTGTATTAAACAAATGCTTGAACTAAACAAACTGAATTGTTGCAAGCTTTTGCGTGTGGCCAACATGTTCTGGAAGACTGGAAGGGAAAATGTTGGATATATGACCACGCTGTTTCGCAGAAGTCAAAGCACCTAAAGCATGTAAGACTAAACTCAAATCAAGGTCACCCTAAGCAAATGGTGCACGATGGTCAATAAAAAGCTATTTCTTACCTGCGCAGTTCCTGTGATGATTCTGGACCCGCCTGACGCACCAGCCACCATCTTCACGTCGCCATTTTTATCGGTAATGATTGCAGGGCACATCGAAGAAAGTGGCCTTTTTCCTGGCCTAATGTAATTTGCTGCAGTTGGTGGGTAGCCGTACAAATTGGCTTTTCCTGGAGTCGAAAAATCGTCCATCTCGTTGTTGTAAATGATCCCAGTCTTCAAGCCACGGTAGCCACCGCCAAATCTAAAGTGGTAAAATCCTTATCAGAAAGGTTTTCATGGTAACGGGTACACAAAGTTTGTACAGTTCGACTAGCAATACGTGGTTATGTAGTTAAAGTCACGTTATCGTTTGTACATAAGCATCCAAATTGCTACTCATTACTCGAGTAGTTGTTGTGTTTTGATTTCGCGATTGCATTCGTGAAAACTAAATGAAACCGTGTAACTTACTCAAGTAAAGAGGGGGTTTAGCAAAAGAAGGGTAGATGTAATCGAGGACTTACTCTAAAGTAGCGGACTATTGTCAACGTTACAGTTGCTGTAGGACCTGTTTCTAATCGCTTTCAATACGTCTTCGACTACGCGTTTCTTGACGTCAAAATCTAGACTTTTCGTTGAGCATTGTTTTAAGAAATGGTTTTAATCTATGACGTCATCAAAATGATACTATGAACCTCACATATATTTACCCTTGATGCTATGAACTTGTAAAGGCACTGGTCACTTTGAATTTGTAATGTAAAAATGTAAAGACAATGTAAAAAGACCATTCATGTTAAGCAAGCTTTTGGGTACCTAACCGAAAAATATTTGATTTTTTTCAGCAAAAACGACTCACAGGTAGTTTATCGTTCCAGTTGCCGAAACAGCGTCACCATTCTCTGCCAATATGGATACGTGTGAAGTACCAAAGTCGTCTTTTCCATAATAGCCTCCATAGTAACTTGAATTGAAGGTTCGATCTGATTTGATTTTGTTCGTTCTTATGAGGTACCCAATTGTGCTGTTGAGCATTTGGTTGTAGGCCTAATTGAAAAAACACATGTAGAGAGGTATGAAGAGGTGCCAATAACGAAAGTGGTAAGTCCAAGGCAAACCATGCCATGTCTTGGAAAAAAACAGTCGATAAATATAAAAGCAGCATAATTTGAAACATCAGTAATGCTTTAGTTGGCAGGTTATTGTCAACTCCTTTCATCTTTTCTTTCAAATTTAACTTCGACTTTGTCTACTTTTTTTTCATTGCCAATTTCAATATCTAGAATTGCAGTTTCGATGTGAAACTGTATCAGTAATAGGGGATAACTTATTAGCTTAAATGTCAAAATATACATAGATAACGTTGAGTATTTTGAATAGAACTTTAAAAATATCCTTGAAAATATCTCTGGGTGCTGTTATATAGTACTCGAGGCTCTTTACCAGACGGTTTTACGTCAGAGCTCCCAGTTGAATCAGCTACCTGATGACCCCACAAAAGCGTGAAATTCGTCGTTAACAATAAGTTTTAAAGTGTGGGCTTGTAACCGATAGCTTTAACTACCACTTTCCCAAACATTTAAATACTTGTCACACTATGAATAGAAAGTAAATTCTGTTAATTGAAATGCAGGACTGTGAGTGCAATTTGAAAATCAAAAGGAATGTTGATAGAAGTGAGATTGTGTACTCCGATCAGCAGATAAGATTTCAAATTTCAAACAAAGTATTACACACATGCTAACAGGAATTCATTTAGTTCGTGTTAAGTCATCAACAATGAGCGAAGGTGACCCATTAATAATGGCCCCTTTTTGGCTCAACAAATATGAGTCAGAAAATATATTTTACTAAGTTTACACTGTGCCGAATAAAATTTATCCGCATAAAAGATTGATTTGCGTTTACACTGTGCCGCACAAATTTTGTTCACTTTGCCCTCCCGTTGACACAGTGCCGGTTAACTGCAGTCACGTGACCTAAATCGTGCACAGAACGCCCAAAATAAAGTCTTCTCTGGGCAACAAAGTAATAACAAAATTCTCGCTAAAAGACTTCATTCTCTCTTCAGAATCATCTGCTTTTCTTTCAGACCAAATCCAAATATATTGTCAATACAAATTAGGCCTAGTTTGTTTTAATAGTTTGCTCTTGAAACAAAATGACACTGAACTAGCAACGAAAGTAGGAAAAGCTGACAAGGATGCCAATTTTTCGTGGACTGGCAAGATACTGCACTTTTAACGCGAGTATTTATCGACAACAAGGCAGCCAAGATGGCGAAAGGTCTTGGTTGGGAGACAGTGAAAACTGAATTGGATGAAATAGCCAATCGATTTCGAGCAAGATACCATGTGGACAAACTTTATCCGGATAAAAGCGTTTACACTGTATCACATAGCTATCCGAACTAATTTAATCCACTTTCCTAGGTGAACTAATTTTGTTCGGATAGCCGCTCTTAAATTCGTTCGGATAGCGTGGGTCTAGTGTAAATGCGACGCCTATCTGAACTAATTTGGATGCGGATAAGATTTATCCGGCACAGTGTAAACGGGGTCTTACAAGGCACCATGTCCCGACGCACTTCGTTTGCCATTTAAATTTCCATTGGTTAGACTATACAATCTTCACGCTAATCTTCAACGCTGCAAAGCTTATTGCTTACTCTAAGGCAGCCTTTCCACTAGGCTGGGTTAAAACATTACCGGGTCAAAAGTTATCCGTTTTTAAAGTCAGTCAATGGAAACGGCATTTTCCTTCGACCCGTTTTTAATCCGTTTTTTATCGCTCCCACTAAGCCGTATTCAGGATGAAATATGCGAAAACGCAGGCAGAGTTATAAGAGAAATCAGTATTTGCATCAATAATCCTTCAATTTCCATCGTTGTAGGCCAACGGAAGCAGCATCGACATCGCGGATTTTGTTTTTTTATTTTTGGCGCCATCTCAATTCTTAAACGTTGCTGTTGTTGCAAGTGGGTCAGAAGTTATCCGGGTTTCGGCGCTGCCATTAACTCGCAGGTGGGTCAAAAGATACCCGGGTTAAACTGGCCCACTCTGAGACCCGTTTTCAAACTTATCCGTTTTCCAAGTGGGTTAGTGGAAACGCGACGCATAAACGGATAACTTTTGACCCGTTTTTGTTTTAACCCGGGTTAGTGGAAAGGCTGCCTTAACGGTCGACTGACGGGGCATAGTGCCTTAAAGATAAAATTCGATTGCAGTCCTCTCTCAAAGCTTTTGCTGCTACCATATGCTGTTACGAAAGAATAATGTATGCATTATAAAAGAGTTTGCTTACACGTGTGATGTTTTCAGCTGGGACAAAGTCTGGGTCACCAAGAAGAGCCCTTCTAGCGTAGCTCCATTTGAACGACTCCACTATTTTATGGTACACCTGGACAGCTTTGGCTGTGTCTTCAAGATCTTTGGCACTGATATTGAAACCTACAAAACATAAAATTATCTTACTATTTTAAGTAAATTCAAAATCAACAAGACGGAATTTATAAAGTTGAAAGAAGGGAATGCTGTAAAATTGTACAAATATTTTAAGTTCCAAAAATAAACGTTCAGTTTTCGTCATGGAATATCTTATGCGTGCGGTTCACCCGTCTGGTTTTATTCATCGTGCCAATTTAATAGAGAGTTTACCATAATATAATGACAACTTCAATTACAATTCAACCATGCTTTTGTTTCAGAACATCAGTGTCAAACGAGTTGTTGCTTCTCGCGCAAATTTTCTTCACTTTTTTTAGCTTGGTTAACATTAGAGTCAAGGCTGCCATTTGTTAGTTTTGACAGCGAAATTTCTTCATTTTGGTTTTTTATAAAGCTGTCAAAAATTAATTTAGCCGAAAAAGCAGAAGCTGGTTGAATTTTGGCCACAAGTGAAAACAAAGCAAAACAAAACAAAAATACAGAGCAAAAAATTATATTTCCACAAAATATGCCTAACATCCTGTGACAGCAGTACCGAAATTTCCAGTGACGAAACATAAAAGGAGTAAAAGATAACAAATAATGGAAAAAAATCAAATGTATATATGTTACTTAAATGCGGAAAGACATTTTTATCAAATTACAATTCAACAAAATTAGCCAAAATTAAGCTGATTTTGAATATTTTGTTTGGCTGGCTGAAATCTTGAAATATTGGTCGCCCAACATTTCAAACATCTGGCTACTCTCGTTAGAGGGAGGACATAATAGAAATGCAATCGGAATGTTTTCGCATTGGCGGCGCCAGCCATTAGACTCTGGGTGGACAAAAAAAATTTAGGCCACGCCCTTTTTTACACCAGAAAACGTCCTTTTACCAATATGGAACGCCAATTTTACGTAAAGGCAGTTACGAAATAAAAGATTGATCCCGACGTGTCCGCGCTTAGATTTGGAAAGTGCTTACCACTAAAAGTTAAGAACCTTTAACTAATAAGAAACCTTAAATATGAATCTTTCCAATGGGAAAGGATACTCCAATTATCGTTCTGTTAATAAAACTTTCTTATTGCTTAAACATCTTCGTAATATTTTTATTTCTTTCTTTGCATCAAAAGTTAGTATCGACAGGGATATTGATATCAACAGAGTCAGACGCTTTTTCCAATCCCTTCCATGAAGAGGACTGTTGATGACATCATCTTTCTAGTTCTGTTGTACGATTATGATTGATAATGACATTTATTAAAATTTTAAATTTTTTAGAGGTTTTTCTCCTCTTCCTCTTCTGCTTCAAAGGACAAAACTTCGTTCTTAAAGATAGATTTTCAGATTCATATCTAATTTAGGGGGAGGGGGGATGTATAAGAAAAAAAGAAAAAGCAATCAGCACGGTCGAAAACTTACCATGCATGATGTTGATTACCATTGCAAGGACAGCACCGCTTCCGGGAGCTGGCATTGTATGCATTTTCATATTATCAAAATCGAAAGAAATTGTGCTCTTAACGCTAACTTTATAACTCTTCAAATCTGCTTCAGTAATGATACCGTTCTTAGCAGCGACTTCTTGCACAACATCTTTAGCTAAAGATCCATTATAGAAATCATGAGGGTTGTTCTTGATTTTCTCTAGAGTAGCAGCAAGTTCGGGGTTCTTCAACTCATCCCCAATGTTCTTGAACTTACCATTAACAAGGAGAATTTTACTAAAAAGAAGATCAATATAAATGTAATGAATAAATAAAATCATGCAATCAGGATAAAAAACCCCAGAGAAGGAAAAATTTGCATTATTTAAAGCAAAATCCTATTTCTAATGACAGAATCGATTTACTTTTCAAAAATAATTGAAAAATTTCTTTGCACTCGTTTTTAGATGCAGACTTAGAGATTTTATATTATCAATTTTTTGTATTGTTCTTTAACTAAGACTTAATCAAATCGAAGAGATATTACAAATCACTTAGTTGTATCGCTACATGATATTGGATGGTCGTCATAAAATACATTTTGAAATCTATTCGATGCAAGCAACTTATAAGGGATTAGGGTTGAAAGCGATAAAATTTTAGGAAAACCAAAAGGAGGTTTTTTTCTGCTTAAAAAATGATAGTAATTCAAATTTTTAATACAAGTAGACATTTCAATGTCACGTACATTGCTTCTAATATGTGTCCTGTCAAGAATAAAAGTGATTATAAACTTAGTTATAAGAGTGCGGAAAACCTTTAATTAAATGCTAAAACGTTACAAAAATTATGTTTCTTTACCAAATTTTGTCTTAGAATATTTCAGCTGCAGCCTCTGAACAGGCACGCAAAAAGGCAGAATGAGATAATATGCCCTCAAAGCACCATTCAAAGTGCCATTACTTTCATATTAATGTGAACAAATAAAACATTGCTATCAAAATATAAATAACTAAAAATACAGAGCAACAAAAACCATCCATGCCCTCTCTGGAGAAGAACAGGAAAACTACAAATCTTAGATTCATAGTTATATCATAACCCCCAGCCTGGCTGAGTTACGCTGTGGCACAATGGTAACTGCTCAGGAGCAGATAGACTTGAGCTGACATTAGATTATACGTGCATTAGCTGATACCTTAACATCCAGCTTTACCACTACAGGGCCTAGGACTACTAAAACATGACTTAGTCAAGCTTGGTAAATGCTCGCATCAGATGTTGGAATTTAAATGTTGCTTTTCTTTGCTTCAGGATTTGAACTTTATCTTATTTATTGAGGTAGGAGTTGGGAAGATCAAACACGACTCTCCCTTTTTATTAACTTTGGTAGAAGATTTGAGGACAGTTTTCTTGTTTGCCCTTCCCTGTGCTTCGCTCCTTTCTCCCCCCAGTATTTCATAATTGCAGGCAGTGTATGAAAATGTTAGAAATGTTTGGAACTGACAAGCCAGCCGAGAAATGTTAGTTGAGCTACGTTTTTAAAGAAAAGAGATTCCTACCAGTCAGATTTCTAAAGAAATTAGACAAATTTCATTTTCATTGGCCTAGATTTGATTTCAATGACATCGCCTAGGGCCCCTGGTATCTATCTAGGGTGCGACCAAATCTGTCGGCGGGACCATCTTCTGATGCCCTTCGCTTTTGGTACTGTTTACTGTAACATTAAAAATAGGCCTACCTCAGGCCAGGATCGTTTCTTATCTTGCTTTCTGATGCTTTCATTGACTCGAATACAGGAACAGGGAGTGGAAAGCCGTCTCTTGCAAGCTTAATTGACGGGTCAATCAGTTCCGCCCACTTCAGCTTGCCGTATTTTGTCCAAAGTTCATAAAGGCCCTTAACCTCGCCAGGCACAGCAACAGCTGTCCCACCTAAAATGAGGAATACAAAACAAAGAATGAACAGAGGAATACAAAACAAATGCTAAAATGAAGACACAAATTACACACAATTTTGAAGACATAATACTTTAATTTGGAAGAAAGCAATGCCATTTGAATGGTTAAATAAATTGCAAACTCCATTAGCTTTATTCCATGAGTATTGACATATTTTTATGTTCTCACGGCAACTTCTAAAGATGAGGACACAAATTTGAGTTTTCTAGCAGTATTTTTGTGGAAGATTGGCTAAGATTAACCTGAGCCATGCCGATAAAACTTTGGTAAAACCAAATGGCTCTCTAAAGTTTGAAAGTAAATGAGCTATCGTGCCAAGCGATTGGCGGGTAACAATACTTTCCATGATCAAAATCCGCTCTGTGATCAAAATCCGGGTTTAATGCTTTGCAGCAATGGCATTTTGCCGAGTGTGATATGGAAAAAAGTTCAAATTGACGATTTAATAAAATCGGTTCCAAGGCAATTGTGGTGTGGGACACAGTATTTGTATTTGCTAGCTAGATTCCGAAGGTAGTTTTTAGGACACTGACAAGCTGTTCCCTGTGCTTATCGACCAGTGTCTTGGACCTTCCTCTCGATGTGTCCTTCTCAAAGAAAACAGACAGGTATAACATAAACAAGAAACAAAACAAACAGTTACCGGTAGTGGATGACATATTTTTCTGTAGAAACATTCTTTCTGAAGAGGCTGCAGGTGCCGTCTCCCTAAAGTTATAAACTTCTGATGTTTTGCTCTGCCTGTTGTAGTAAACTAAAAAGCCACCTCCACCTAGACCAGTCGAATGAAGGTTTACAACGCCAGTGCAAAACAGGGAAGCAACGGCGGAGTCCACAGCACTGCCCTTTTTCTTTAGAATATCACTGCCAACCTGTTGAAATGATATTTAATTTGTAATGTATGCAGAAAGTAAATTATAGGAATAGGTGAGATGTTAAAAAATACACTGTCAAGGAAAGCGGCACATGACTGGAGACAGTAAAGTAGGTAATTAAAAATCACAGAATTTTAGAAACAAAATAAACCAGAGAAATCATCCCAGTTCTGGTCTCACAGCTAACACTCAACGTAAATAGCCTTAATGAAATTCCGGTTGAAGCATTGCTTTCATGTTTAAATAGACAAGTATTCCAGAGAGAGGCTCGTAAAAAAAGATGGTTTACTATCAAGAAACAAAGTAATCAGTTGCCCATGGTATTTTCTTTTGCATATAACTTTACTTCAATGAATATCGTAGTTGGCAACCATTTGATAGAATGAAAGTTGAAGACGTGGCAGGATGGAAGATATGCGGGGAAATCAATGCAGTATCAAAAACCATCGAACTCTCTGCTTCGTATCAGCCCCCCCCCCCTTCAATTAGCCCTACCCTGCTAGAGAAAACTTTTTAATGAATCCCAATCCTTGAACAAGCCATCACTCTGACAAGGCTGCTTTCCTACACATGCTTTCAGCCCATGATAACCAACATGTTCAAAGGAAAAAGATGAAATTAAGGCTGACTACATAATGTTTAAAGATAAGTCACCATTCATCACCTGGGAACAAATTTCAGAATCCGTGGCAACAGCCGCTTTCGAGTATTTGTAGGCCTCGTTGTCAGGATGGCTGACTTTGACCTTTTCGTCATCGTCCTTTTTCGAAAGCACGACACCAAGAGTAACAGCAATGACTATAACTGCTATCACAACAACAGCACCAACAACGAAGATTTTCTTCATATCTGCAATAAAAATGGATTATATCACGTGGTTTAGTTGCTTTAAATTGGATGGCCTGGGAAACATATTTAGCAATTTACCTCAGTTTTGGCACACAGAAACAGGATGTTCAGATACCGCATGAAGGCTTGTGTAAAATTTTGATGGCGCAGTTCTAGTTAAATATGATAAAAATCAACTCATTTAATACTTTAAACGCAACTTGATAACAGTGTAAGTACTTGATAACAATGTAGAATATCTAAAGTGTCTCCACAACACAATATTCAAAATAAAACCAGAGACAGACAACATATAATTATGTTTATCTTCAAGATATATTTTGATCGCCATTTCTTTCTTTCATCTAATTTCATTGTTTCTTTGAAATTCAACATACCTGCAAACTAATAAAATTGGAACGAAACTATGAATAGAATAGTAATGAATGATAAGTCAAATTCAAAAGTAGTAAATGTTTACTAGAACATATAAAAAAAGTTCTGTCCAAGTTGCACATATCCCTTCCTAAGTGGTTCGAAAAATGACGAAAGGAGAGCACACTGTCGGTATTTTGTATTGCCTAACAGAATATTTCAAAGTAAATAATTATAAGTAATTCTTTACTTAATTGAAAGTAATTTTTCCGTTTCTTTTTTATGTAAATTCAGATGGCAAATTGTTTTTAATTCTGAAAGATCATTCCAGAATTTTGCCCCCTGACTAGCTTCAAACCATATTAAAATCACTTTTATGGGTCAAGAATACACATCACTACGATTGGATTGTCTGGCATGGTGTCCATGAATACATGAGTTCAAAGAAAAAATTGGGAAAGCAAGTAGGATTCAATTTATATACAAAACTAGTCGATTTCTATACAAAACTTAACATTTTTACTCGAAAAATGTTCTTAAGTCTTAAAATGTTGAGACCTTGAAAAATGGGAAAAGTGTAAGATGCGAAATGTTCATGCGAGGTAGCTCTAATAGCTTTATTGTGCAATTAATAGTATATTTGTTCAACATATGAAGTAAATGTTTGAACCCAGAAGGCAATACCAAATTGTTAGAATGACATAAACAATGAATTGTAGACAATGAGGTGATTATAGACAAATATCCATGGTGTAGTTGAAAGGAGATATTTTGTTCAAAAGAAAACGCCACATGTTCTAGCTAGCTTCTTAGACAGACCGGACAGATGATACTTCCAGCTGCAACTATCATCAAGAAGAAGTCCTTAAAATGTTACGTATTTAGATCAAGTTATGCGTTTTTTACCGATTTTCACTTCAATATTAGGAGGGATTGACAGAGCAGGGGACTGAAAATAATGTAATTAGTTTGCTTATATTTAATGAAATTCTGCTTGCATCTAACCATTTTTTTACAAATTTTAACTCCTTGTTCACTGTTTTGACAAGTTCCCTTATGTCATTACAGTCAAAATAAATATTTATATCATCTGCAAAAAGGTAAAACTGGGGTCTGTTTGATAACAAGTTAACTTTGGGCAAATCCTTGATGCATATAAGAAATAGCAAAGGGCCAAGTGCAGACCCCTGTGGGACACCAAGTGTGATTTTCATAACGTCCGAGTCATTTTTTGCAACTTACACTTCTATCAGCCAAATATGAGTTAAACCAGTGTAAGGCAAAATATCACGGTTGACTCTCTTAAGATCAATGAAAGCTTTCTGAAGATCAATGAAAATGCCACAACCAAATCTTGTGTTGGCGAGCATGGATCTGATTTCATCCGTCATACTACTGATCAGCGCATGACCAATAGAGTGATTTTATTGAACTCCAATCTTTTAGGAAAAAATAATTTTGCGATCCTTCAAGAAAATGTCGATTCTTTTAGTATTAGACCCCGTTAACACGATGTCGCTACCACACCGGCCTGAAATGACACCGGCCTGAAATGACACCGGCCTGAAATGACACCGGCCTGAAATGACACCGGCCTGAAATGACACCGGCCTGAAATGACACCGGCCTGAAATGACACTGGCCTGAAATGACACCGGCCTGAAATGACACCGGCCTGAAATGAAACCGGCCTGAAATGACACCGGCCTGAAATGACACCGGCCTGAAATGACACCGGCATGATATCTTTTGTTTTTAGGCCATCCGTTTACACGATATCGGTACCATGCCGGTATGAAAAGGTGTTAATCCGGATTAAAACCATCTCGATAGCCATACCGGTACGGGTTCATGCCGGTGTGGTCACGACATCTAGTAAACGGGGTCTTAATTTCTCGCGGATTTTCAAAAATGGACAAGAGAGACATAGGTCTATAATTTGTTGGTAATACTAGGTCACCTTTCTTTAAAACTAGAGATTCCGTGGTGGTACAAGCAACATATCCGAAAAAGCCAAAAAAGTTGTAGATAACATTCATACTTCAAGATTATTGCCTGTAGTATCTTTGGATTGTAGATATGATTAGGTATCATTTGAAACTCTTCTCACGTGTTGCTAAATATTTCTTAAACATAACAATGAACACTTGACAACTTGACATTTAACTTTTTTGGCAAACATCTACTACATTAAAGGGATACCATGTCATGTGCTTTAGAGAATCATTTTGCAAGCACACAGGTGAAATTTCCATACTGAAATTAAAGACTATGATACACAACCAAAGTGGGTTCTTTTTGAAGCTGTTAACCGAAAAATGCTTGCTGAGAATACGCCAGAACATTAATTGGTACCCAGTATCTCTAATACAGGGGTACAGGGCTGTCAGCAATTAACCTTTCACAATCTCTAGCCATATGTTTGGCAAACACCGATTACATAAAAAGAGAGAGCGTGTAAAGTGTTTTGAAGAAGCATTTTGTAGATGATAGATCTTATGCTATCTATGTTAGCCTGTAAGTTTTGGCCAAATTTATGTCATTCCATTAGAAAAGCCAAGAAAAATTTCAATCTGCTTTGAAGTTATCAGCAACTTTTGCGGCATTTAGGGCTGTTATCTTATTGAAGGAGCTTTAAGGGTCGCGTCCATAGTCGAGCTGCTTATAAGAAGGCTTAACCTGCAATTACAATCTGGAACGATCGCAAATAGTTGCTGAACAGGTGATAGTCCGAAAGTCCGGTAACATGACCGCACGCGAAATACAGATGAAACAAGACTTTTTCCCAACGTAAAAACGTAGCAGGTAGTCAGTAGAAAAAGAGCTAGCCAATGACATTTGAAGGTGGAAACACAGTAGATTCTAGTTTAGAATATAGTCGTAGAACAAGCTGCAAGAAAAATTGTAACTTATAGCGGGGTGTGACTGCAAACAGGGCTAAATTGTGCAGTTTTACGTACATATTTGGGTCTGGATGTCATGAGACTGTAATCGACAGTGTCACTTTTCAAACAATGACTATAAAAACATTAACATAGCATTAAAATTGATAGCATAAAATCTGTTTCGACTTCCTTGTCTGCAAACCAAATGGCGCTTCGCAACTACAGTTCCTAAGGGAAGGCCAATGGTATAGAAGGAATTTGTCAATGTTTGTTTCGGCTTCTTAGCCTATCTTGCAAGATACTTACCTAGCTTATAAATAAACTGACTTTGTTCTTACAATCACTTGTCCACCACACTGGCACACCCTTGAAAATCTCAACATAGAGACGTTTGCTGATCTCAACAGTCAAGGAAATGTCGTTTTATGAATTTGCTCCTTTTTGAAACCCCCTGATAACATTGGTTAGCACTGAACAAAGATTGCTCATGCACCCTTTCTGTTATCAAGGCAACGTGCAAATATTAAGAAAAATCTTGACATGATGGCAAAATAGATAAGCATCGAGTTAACAATTGGCTAAACAAGTATGAAGAGATCAGTTTTACAAAGAACTCCGCTTTTCGTCGACGTTTTAGCTCTCGATCAACGATTCCCACAATCTATGGGTAATTCTGATAAATCCCTTAATCGTCTTCTTGCTGTACATGAGCCATCTATAATTGACCAAACAAGAATACCACATGAAGGAAAAAACCTATCAGCTTACAAGCGTGTACAAGGAGTATATTTTTACGATTCTTGTAAATGAATGAAAGTAGTGAATGCACGTAAACTGCTTGTAAAACCATTTTCTTACTCTTAAAGTGTATATCACCTTAATTGCAAACTTTGCGATCCTTTACTATACTTGATGCGCTGTTTGATGCGATGCAGGAAACTGCCAAGGGCAAGAAAAGACGAAGGGGGCGGCCCGCGCACAACATCGCGCAGACCGTCTCAAAAGACATGGCGCAGAAAAACTGCACAGCGAAGGACGCCCAGGACCGGGCACTCTGGAGGCAGGCCAAAAAAGAAGAGCCACGAAGATCCAGCCGTAGCAGAAAGGGCCAAAGGCAGAAAGATCCCGACTTCATGTACTAACTCTCTTTTCTTCTCTCTTCTTTTTCGGAAGTTTTATTTTTATTTTTGTAAAAATCACAACTTGTCACCGAACCCAATGAATGATGCGCTGTTTACGAAAATCGAATTGATAATTTGCTATTTCTTTTGCTTTTCCTGTTGTATGCGCTCAAAAGTGGCATTTTGCCCTGTCTGGCGAGCACCAAACCGCGCCAAAAAGGGGACTAGATCATAGTCTTTTTGTGACGTAGAAACCAGAACCAAAGTAAAACGTACTGAGAATATTCAATGGTATATTCAGAGATGTGGATGGACATAATAAGCATACAAGGATCGTCAATGAAGTTTATGCGATTTATTCATTCATCAATTTGCTTTCTTTGCAATCAGCCTTCAATATTTTCCTCCCTCCGCATTCCTATCAGCTTATTTTTACGTCATACTACTACACATACGTCAGACCTGACCTACCCTGATCTGAGTCATATGAAGTCGATTCTGTCCTCGCACAACCAGAAATCATCCGGAATGAATTTACTTTAGTTCCTAAAAACGGATTTAGTCGACAACATAGTCCTAGACGGGCCCAAATAAGCATATTTCTTATTTCTGCATCCACGCCGCACCAGCCATTGGTTCATCAGCGTAAACTTCTAAGCACCCTGCTTCGACGTTTTCAGTCCCCGCATGCTCATAATCTAAACTTTCATCCACTTATTCGAGATCCGTAAAGGAACTAGGATTTGACGAGATGTTGGATGCTTCGGAATCAGAGTCGGCCATAATTTATTGCGCAAGGTTTCGAAAGACGTTCTGGTTTCTACGTCATGAAAGACTAGAGTCTAGACCTCTATAACATGGGCGGATTGGAGGCAAAATGTAGAAACTTTGGGGGCCTTTTTCGAGGGCTTGCGTTGCTCAAAACGCTTTTTAAATTTGATATTTGAACTCAGCGCAGTTGTTTCAGTTGGTTTAATCTCTATCCCAAATTAGGTGATATGCACTTTAATGAGAAGTCTGATCAACGAAAATTTGCGAAAGTGATCCTGTTTTGTATTACCTCTTTGGATTACCACTTTAAATTGAATTACCTCTTTGGTACCTTCAATAGCTCCCCACAAGTTGAAATGTACTTTGATTTGACCGTAAAAAAGAGTGTTTACAAAAAATTTTGATCTTTACGTCATCGTGGATTGATTATGACATTGTTCTTTCAAATCGGTTCCCCTTCTAAATTGAAATCGGAATTTCTAGTATTGAAATTTTCTATTTACGTTTCCATATAGGTTCTTCAAGGAGCGCAAAATTTCTTGTTTAAGCACTAATGCAAAACGGAAGTAAAGTTTGTGTAAAGATGCAAATTGTTAAATGCAATGACAAATAGGTTCACAAAAGCATGCCTTGTCCTTTGGATACCGCAAGGTCAATAATGTTTATTCGCTTTAAATATATTCCGATGTGAATCCTATTTTGCCTTAAGAGCTTCCAGCGATTCTTGCAGTGAAATCTTCTTTGGCGTTTGTCTTCCTTCAGAAATCGCAATAACTAAGTGGCGTTCAAAGCATCAGAAATATTCAAACAGAGGGGCTGGCTGTCTGACAGCATTGAGAACGCTCTTCTTTACCCTTTGGAATAACTCCTTTTTATATGTTAATAAATATTGTTTTAAAGAATACTCAGGCAAAGGAAATCACAGAACTGACATACCGTAATTAGTTCCCTCGAATTACCTCCCTGGGGGCTTATTTATTTTTGATTCCAGAGCGGGCAACGTTCCCCTGAAAATTTGCTAAGAATATCGAGGCTGGAAAAAATTGATAATGTTCTTTTAGAAAAGAGTGTAACCACTATGTTGAAATATCTGAAATCTTGTGATTAAATTTAGATCTGAATTTAGAATTGCTGGAAAAAGCTAATGATTTTTAAAAGTATATGTAGTCTCAAGAAAGAAACGAATTTTTTGCATTTTTTGCATTTTTTGCGAAAGTTAACCTGCTTGACCGTAACTGGGGGGTTTCAGGTAACATAAGGCATTGGGGCACTCCCAAGTGGCCTTTTGGCCATTGATTGGGGGTGTTGCGAAGGATTTTTGTGAGAACCATTAATTCAGCAGGAACTCTCTCCAGATCTGGTGGTAGATCTGGAGGTGGCCGTTGCACAGAGGTGTCTGTTAATAGAGGTTTCATTGCACATTGAACGGAACCCTATAGATTTTCTAAAGACTTTGATCAGTAATGTAGATGCAGAAGCATCTTGAAAGTTTGGGGGATAGGTAGGCAGATTACCAGCCCCCACTGCTGGATGTATAATTTGCTCTGCACTTCTCGGGTAGCGAATACAAGCGCTTCTAATCGAGGGGTGTATCACTCTTTCAAAAATGCGTACGAATCGAACAGTGTGTTTTCATCCGATAAAATGTGAAAAACTGTAACGCTAACGGTTTGGATTTTATATTTATTCAATTTAGTAATGTTGCCGTTGCGTGTTAAAGTCACATGTTCTGTTAAACACCTTTTTTATGGCAATGTGTTTGTCTTTCAACATGTAGCGTGACGCTCGTATTGTCCTGTTATTTAGCTTCCGTTTATGTTATTAGTATGTTTTGATCACGATATAAGTTACGTCACGCTTCTCATGTGCCGAACCTAACTCGCGACGTTTGAATCAATTTGGTACGGCAGATTTAGTTAGGAGCGGCAGACTAGTTTTGATCGGCAGAGCTTGCCGAGCTGCACGGCTCCAGCACGGCACGGTTTCAAGCGTCGAACTTGTCATGTGCCGAACTCAATGCATAATTATATTTAATTTATTTTCCTTCACAGAATTCATTTCTTTCTTGGAGGGCGCATGCGTTTCAAACAAATATTTGAGATTGTGCGCCTTAACGAAGATACTTTATGTAACAATCCTAAAACCCATTTGGCGCGAGATGATTAAGTTCGACGTTTGAAACGGGAGTCGCGCTAAACATGCTCAAGTGTCGCTCCAAACAGAGTTAGGTTCGGCACATGAGAAGTGCGACGTTTGAACCAGGCCTTAGTCTTTCTGTTAAATCATTAGAGTTAAGATCAAAGAAGGAGTATCTTTTGTGCGTTACTTGTTCGGGGCTTAGGCCCTTTGGCCTAACCCATCGCTCCACCAACGGGCTAAGTAAACACAGGTTATTCACCGTCGTAAGAAGAACCCTGATCGTTACAAAACCTCCAACTTCTCAGTCTCAAAAATACAGTTTTGAGCATTCTGGTTTGAAAGTTCGAACCCTGATCGAACTGTGTCACATTGCACAACTTCCTTGAGATTATCTTCTTCTGTATTGACAAAATATGTCACTACTGCCGAAGGGTCATACCATCCTCATAGGGAATAATGACACTGCTTTCATGATATGGTAAAATTTCCAAGTATAATTTCCAACACTGAACTTTTGACTTGTACTCTTCGGCAGTAGTGACATATTTTGTGAATACTGAAGAAGATGTTGGGAGATTTTTTCAAATGTACTAAGGCCTAAGGCTGTCGACTTTTCAATACTCTTTTGGATTTTACAGGCGTTACGGGAATCTCCCGGCTATAAAAACATAAGCACTTGTTTATGCATGCAAAAATTTAACAGTAAAGCCTGATTTACACGAGACGAATTTTTCGCGCAAAGCGAATTTTTCGCCACGAATTTTTTAGCTGCGAATTTTTCTCTTGAATTTGAAGTTCAATTTACACTGGCGAAATTTTCTGCGAATTCGCTGTGAATATTACAAAAGAATATAGCGACTGTCCGAAGAGTGCTCTTATCAGCAAGTTTAAAATTTTGAATTTATCAAAAAAGGGATACTGGATAAGAAAAATTTATTCAGGACATCTTCAGAAGGGGGAATTCTTTCGGTAAGAGAGGTTTACGTTTACATTTATAAGACCAGTATAACTTCTTCAAACACTTTCAAAGGTCGCTATCGAAGCTTGCACAAGCATGCGAGATCCTGTTAGTGCATCTGCTTAAAACTGTTGCTCTTGAGCAGGCCAATAAGCAGCCAGCAATTCAGCAATTTGAAGAAATTCTTGCCTTTTTTATTTCTGCCATATTGGTAGAACGATGAAACTTTCAAGCCAGTTTTCTTAAATTTGAAATTCAAATGTTTGAATAATAATCTGATATAAATCAACTTACATGGATTGTGTACAAGGAACAGGAAATGAATAATTACCAACCTATTTTATTGACGTTTTAAAGGCGAGAGTGTTTGAGAAAAAGAATGCGGAAAGACGTAGGCCATCTGAAAACAAAACAGAAATCAGATGTCTTCCAATGCTGTTCTGATTGGTTTATTTTACAAGGCGAAAAATTTTGCAGCGAAAAAGTAGGAATGGTTTTTACTTTTTCGCTGCGAATTCGCTGCGAATTTTCTAATCTCTACTTCTGCGCATATTTTTCGCGCATTCGCGGCGAAAAATTCGCTTCGCACAAAAAAATTCGTCTCGTGTAAATCAGGCTTAAGAGAAAATCCTCTGCGGACTTCATCACTCCAATAAGTGGAAGAACAATAAAATAAAAAAAGAGTACTGCAATTGGCATCGAGATGTTTCAAAAACGAGGTTGGGTTATGTTGCCTATTCGT